TTTCTCAGGTCAAGGACGATGTCGTACATTGCGTCGGTAATGATTGGTGCTGTTTAAGCTTTAATGTTTCATCGAGAACGATCTGCTTAATGGCGGCCACCTGGCGCTTCACTCCGGTCACTATTAACTTAACGTCAGATTTGGGGTGAACTCTTATGTCGATGAAGTAATTAAATGACAGACGGGCCAGGTTAGTGCCCTCAGGGCCCACAACGGCTCCCAGGCAAGGCTTTGGTGCTGGGACCACCCCGGCCCACCTTGGTGGTCCTCGCCCCGCTCTTGAGAGTCCCCATGTTGATGGCCATCTTCCCTGTGGCCACCTTCTTGGTGGACATCACCCTGCTCTTGGTGGCCACCTTCTTTATGAAAGTTAATTAAACAAATATATTAAATGTAGGAACTATTTAAAAATGTTTTGAACCAAGAAAAAGACAAAGAGAGATACAGAGAGAGAGAGAGAGAGAGAGAGAGAGAGAGAGAGAGAGAGAGAGAGAGAGGTTGTTTATGCTTTACTACACTGATACTTCTGTACTGTGTCTGTACTGTGCAGCACTGTACTGTGTCTGTATTGTACAACACTGATTCTACTGTTGTATATTTCGGTCATGTTGGTGTACATTTGTCTTAAGTTATACTGAATATATCTGAGAGTTGTGTATGGCCGGGGACGTGTGAGTGTGTGTGTCACCTTTAAATTCTGTGAGTGTGGTTGTGACTATGTGGTTGTGGGTGTATGGTGGTGTGTGGGGGTGGGGTTCTATGGTGATGGTGGCTGTGGCTATGTGTGTGGTGGTGACAGTGTGGCTGTGTGGGGGGTGGTGAGTTTGGCCATGTGAGGGTAGGTGTATGTGGTGGTGATGGTGGTGGTGGTGTGTCTATGTGTGGTGGTGGGTGTGGCTATGTAGTAGGGGTGGTGGGTGTGGCTTTGTTGTGATGGTGGTGGTGGTGGGTGTGGCTATGTGGTTATGGTGGCGGTGGTGGGTGCGGTTATGTGGTGGTAGTGGTGGGTGTGGTTATGTGGTGATGGTGGTGGTGGTGGGTGTGGCTACGTGGTGGTAGTGGTAGGTGCCTCCTCGTGGCAACACACGGTAACTGGGTGCCTCGTGGGCCCAGGCTAGACCAGCAGGAGATCTCGGAGTAGCAGTGGGCCCCAGAGGGACAGCGCATAGGACCACTGGCATGTGGATACGTCCTGGCTCCTACTATCCATTGCCCCTCTGCCTTGCGGGTTAACCTTGGTAGGTATAAGGCTACGGGAGTAAACCCAGAACGAAAAATCTACGGTGGAGCCCATCTAAACCCAACAAACTGGGTTATCGGCAGTCCATTGCGACTCCCCCTCTCCCTAGTCGTTGCAACACTTGCACCACTGGATCAGGAAAAGGGAGAGCCAAGATGTGTGGTTGCTGCCTGCGCTCCAGCCTTACCACATAAATCAACTCACGCACAGCCATAATCCAGTTCATTATACCTCTCATCATCATCAAAACCCTTATACCCCCAAAAGTCCTATGGCGACGGACGAGTGGCGACGGGGACAGGCAGAGATGACTGCCGGGAGTCTCTAGTCACAACTCTGTACATGGGCGGCACAGATAAGATGATCGCTTATGCAATGGGATCTTGGCAGCAGTACAATCCGATCCTATCTGTGCGACTGAGCAGCCCTTTCGAGGGGCTACTCACCTCACATGGGGAGGGGGCTAGAAAAGGTGCCCTAAACATAGCCTGCTTAAAAAACAACCTCACTGGGCAACCGCACCCAAAAAGGTCATGCTTATGCGGTCGAAAACACCATCAAAATCACAGATCCAAACAAAAACAAACTATATAACCTCTTATGGTCGCTGCATGGAGTGTCAGGACCCTTCTGGATACTGGCACAAATGAGCGTCCTGAAAGAAGAACTGCCCTTGTGGCAAAAGACCTGGCTAGGTATAACATCGACATAGGAGCCATTAGTGAGTCCCGGCTCCTAGGCGAGGGTCAACTCACAGAATGTGGGTCTAGCTACACCTTCTGGAAGGGTAAGCCTGCTGTGGAGAGAAACCTTATTTATGGAGTTGGCTTTGCCATCCTCCAACGCATCCTACACAGGCTAACTGAAATGCTATTGGGATCAACGAGCTCCTCATGACGCCCCAACACTGGATGCAGAGGACGACATCAAGGAGCCCTTTTACGCCGACCTTGACAGAGTGCTAACCTCTATCCCCACAGAAGATAAGGTTGTTCTCCTTGGTGACTTCAATGCCAGAGTTGGCAGAGATGCTGACATTTGACAGGGAACCATCGGGAGAAATGGACTAGGCAAATGTAATCCCAACGGCCTACTCCTCCTCAGCAAGTCTGCTGCACCCACCACAGCCATCCTCCATCCCTGGATGAGGTTGATATTGCCACCAAACAGATGAAAAATAACAAAGCCTGAGGGCCTGATGGAATCCCAACCGAGGTGAATAAATCAGGAGGACCTCTGCTTACCAGCCGTCTCCACTCTCTCCTGGAGAATATTTATAAGAACAAGGGAGACCGGTCAGACTGCGGCAACTACCGCGGGATCTCGCTGCTGTCCGTAATTGGCAAGATTATCTCCCGAGTCCTCCTAAACAGACTTCTTCCTGAGGCGGAAAACTTCCTCCCAGAATCTCAATGTGGCTTTAGACCATCATGTAGCACTGCTGACATGACCTTTGCTGCCCGCCAGATACAGAAAAAAGTGCAGAGAACAGCGTCGTGACCTGTATACGGTCTTCATCGACCTAACCAAAGCCTTTGACTGGGTCAACAGGGAAGCCCTCTAGTAGTACCTCAGCCGTTTTGGCTGCCCACCAAAATTCATCGCCATTGTGAGGCAACTCCACGATGGCATGAACGGCAGTGTCCTGCACAATAGCACCCAGTCTGAGTTATTCTCCATCCAAACGGGGGTTAAACAAGGGTGTGTACTGTCACCAACTCTCTTTTCCATTTTCTTGGCTGCCTTCCTTACTCGTGGCAATTTAGCTGGCGGGGTAGACATCGAGTACCGGATGAAGGGTCTTTTCAACACAAGACGATTCCAGGCAGGAACAAAGGTTTTGGCAGCTTCCATTATTGAGCTTCAGGAGATCCTGAACACCTACACAGATGCGTATGCACACTTCGGCCTTGAGGTGAATATACGTAAGACTCAGATTCTCTTTCAGCCTGCCCATGTTTCAGCCACACCTCCACCATCCATCCAGCTTAACGGTACTACCCTCTCTAATGTTACCCACTTTCGGTATCTCGGCTCCCATCTGTCCACCACCGCGGACATCGATGAAGGGATTCATCATCGGATGAGATGTGCACCTCAAGCCTTTGGCAGACTACGAAACCGTGTCTTTAGCTGTATGGAGCTGAAATTATTTACAAAGTTACACGTATATCGAACAGTGGTCCTCTCCATCCTGCTACATGACAACGAGACATGGGTCACAAACAGGAGGCACCTCAAGGCACTTAAAAACGTTCACCAACGTAGTCTACGTTCCACTCTTCGAGTTCGCTGGGAAGACAAGAGAACAGATGCCAGTATTCTTGCTGACACCAACTATAGAAGCATCAAGGCTACCATTATCCAAGAAAAACTGCGCTGGACTGACCATGTTACCCGCACGAACGACAGTACACTGCCAAAGCAGCTACTTTACAGTAAACGTAATGCTGGCGGGCAACTGAAAAAGTATAAGGATAGTCTTAAGACAAACCTAAAAAAGTGCCAAATCGACCCCCTCACCTGGGAGACGATTACTCCATACCGTAACGCTTGGAGGAGCACCATACGAGAAGGTGTCAATACTTTCGAGTTAGCCCGACTGCCTAACGAGTCAGACAAGCGCCAACGCCGGAAAGACGCTGCCGCCGCCCTCCTGCACTAGATGTAGCCCCCTACATGTGCAAAAACTGTGATTGACCCTGCCTGTTCCGTATCTGCCTCTTTAGTCACCCGAGAACTCACCAACCTAGGTGACATCCTTAAAAACTCCTATCATTGTATCATTGCTGGATGATCGTCATACTCGATTCCGAGTGACAGCAAAGTGGAGTAGTAGTAGTAGTAGTAGTGTGTGTGTGTGTGTGTTAGTTCCTGGTGAATGGGCCCAAAGTGGTGTCTAGTTAGTTTAAATAATGCACCTTCACTGATCTGACTGGTGTATGCTTTTTTCTGTGTGTGTTGCTGACAGGTAGGATTGATCTGAGTGTAAATATTCACAGGTAAAGTTGCCACAGCCTCACACAGTTAATATGGCGAACATCATTTATTAAAGCAGTCTAGACCAACCACATGACTATATAATAAAACACAACTAACCCTTGGCAAGAGTGACAACAATATTATCCCTGGTGGTATGTGCAGTCCCCTTCACTAGTGCGTTTACAGGGGCTTGTTAGGTTTTGTGCAGTGTGGCAGCATTGTGTTTGTTTACATTCGACAGAAGGAAACTCACAATATCTCAATGTAATGATTTGTGGAATTTTTATGCAATGAGCCCCTGTAAACGCACAAGTGAAGGGGACTATACCGTACTGCTCCTCCCTTAAAGCCTGTGTGGTCAAACCTTTAAGGGAAAAAACACAGAGGGAAACAGCAGCTGGCAGGAAATACACCTCGATATCCACTGTCTGTCTGTCTGTTTTATCTATCAAGCTATCCATCCCTTCATCTATCTGTCTAACCATCAATCCTATGTTTACACCCTCTCTCTCAAAAGTTAGCTAATTAGATTTATTAACTCACCTGACGCTCCTTAATAACTCATATAAACAAATATAACTCACTGTCATCTCGGAGTTATTTACAGGTTCTATGTTTTAATCGATGGAGGAAGACATAGATGATAACGAAAAAAGAAAGATAAAGATAGAAATAAGATCAAATGAATAATTAACCTAGATATAAATAAATAAGATGAAGAGAAATTGAATTAAAAGAATATATATAATTATCACATTTTTATTTTTTTCACTTCCAGGCAGCAGTACTCTGGGCAGTGACAGCACCATCAGTAGCATCACCAACAGCAGTAGCAGCAACAGTAACAGTAGCAGTAGTAGTAGTAATAATAATAGTAGTAGTAATAGTAGTAGTAGTAGTACCAGAATTCCCCCCGGATCGCCGTCGCCTCCTCGAAGGGTAATTAAGTTGGAGGAAAATGAGGAAAAACGGCTACTGGACGCACTCATGGTGGGGTATGACCGCGATGTCCGTCCCGTCAGGAATGCCTCTCATCCAATCGTCATCCAATTGGGCATCACCCTTACCCAGATCTTTGATATGGTAGGTGGCTGGTTGGGTTCATTCCTCCTGTACTATACACGTTCATGTCTGTTTAACGCCATGTTTGTTTAATCCCACGTTCATGTCTGTTTAATCCCACGTTCATGTCTGTTTAATCCATGTCGCAGTTCTGTTTAATCCTGTGCCTGGCGTCTGCTTAATCCCCTGCCACGCCCGCTTAATCTCACGTCTGGCGTCTGTTTAATCCCTTGAGTTAATGTCTATTGTTTAATCCCACGTTCATGTCTGTTTAATCCCAAGTTCATGTCTGTTTAATCCCACGTTCATGTCTGTTTAATCCCACGTTCATGTCTGTTTAATCCCTCGTTCATGTCTGTTTAATCCTCCGTTCATGTCTGTTTAATCACCAATTTCATGTCTCTTTAATCCCGCATATGTGTTTAATCCCACATTCATATCTGTTTAATCCTGTCTAATCCCACATGTATGTTTAATCCCACTTTCATGTCTTCTTAAAATCCCTCATCCATATCTGTTTGATCCCTCTAACTAAATTGAAGACAGACAGACAGACAGACAGACAGACAGACAGACAGACAGACAGACAGACAGACAGACAGATAGACAGACAGACAGATAGATGGGATATGTAATCCTAAAATAATCCATAATATCATGTATATATTTTTTTATCCTAACTGCCTATAGTAATATATATACATGTCTTATTTTCTTATTCCAGGATGAGAAAAATCAGGTGTTGACAACGAACGTGTGGCTTGATCAGGTAAGGCAATAAGTTCCTCACACACCTGTTAATTAGAGTCACATGTTGTTCATCCTAGGTAAAGAAGTCTCTCACCTGTTCATTGTAGAGATATAAGTCATACCTGAGTGCACCTGCGTCTTAATTATTTATTCCCAGATAGGTAAAAATATGTCACACTTTTAATTTATTTTTCTTTCGTATTTTTCTATTGTAGTTTTTTTTGTTTTGTTTTTATTTGTTTTTGTTGTTTATGCTTTTTTGTTTGTTAGTTTGTCGTTATAATTATCGTCAATGGTGTCTTTAACTTTTTCGGGAATTGTGGTGATTTTAAGTTATCTCCTTAATAGTTAAAATAGGATCTCACTATCATCATCATCATCATCATCACCATCATCAAAATCACCATCTATATGCATGGAAGGTCACACACACACACACACACACACACACACACACACACACACACACACATAATGATCTAACCCCTCGACTCCATATATAAGGCAGTATAAGTGTCAACAGAGAAAGTATTAGTCACTAGATATATAAAAATAAGGTTTAGTTTGGTTCATTACGTCACAATTTCTTCCTTCGATGCTTGCTATTACCTCACACTGTTGACCTACCTGACGGGAGGGGAGGGGGAGCTGACGGAGGGCTGACGGGGAAGAGGAATTAACTTGAGAGTAATGGATGGTTTTTATTCCCTTTGGCCTTTTTGTTACTATCAAATGTCAGGAAATTTCATAATAAGGAAATCTCTCTCTTGTGTGTGTGTGTGTGTGTGTGTGTGTGTGAAGAGAGGTCCGCCATGTGGTAGCGAGTGTGGTGACTGTATTAACTGGTGCTACACATTAAGTGCCACAGCCGGCCCCGTTAGTACAGGCTGTGGTGCTAATACCGACACCTGTTATAACACTCGGCTGTCGACACCTGGATGCTGAGAGATAATGTAATCGGCTGTGTGTGTGTGTGTGATTTCTCCTTGATCTAACTTAACCTAACCTAACCTAACCTAACCTGATGTCATTCACTGTGTGGTTCTGTTATTACCCTCAACAGGTGTGCCCCCCTTAATGAACGTTCCAATAAACGAAGAGGTCAAAGGTCAGATTGAAGGTCATTTTGAATAAAAGATCTCACTATCCTAAGATTAGGTTAAGGTTAGTTTAGGTTAGGTTAGGTTAGGTTAGGTTAGTTTAGGTTAGTTTAGGTTAGTTTAGTTTAGGTTAGGTTAGTTTAGGTTAGGTTAGGTTAGGTGGGGTGGAAGAGTTTTAGAGAGTTTTTATAAGTAACGTCGAGTAATTAACGAGTAGAAGTTTGACATTAGTTCTTATTGTCCGAGAGGAACTTTGTCACAAACACAGACACCTTCCTTCATCCTTTTCTTCCTGCTTCCTCCTTCTCTCCTACCACGAGCCTGCCTCACCTTTATCTTTCCTCCTCCTTTTTCTCCTCCATCCCTTAGTGCCACCCTCCCTCACCTCCATCTCCTGCCACCCTCACCTCACCTCCTTCACCACTCCCTTCACCATCCACCCTCCTCACCACCCTCCTTTCACTAATTCTCACTACTCCCACTCTCACCACCTCCTTCACCACCCACCTCACCACCCTCCCACCACCCCCCTCACCTCCAGGTTAGTATTGATCAAGGTTATTATCGCTGCTTAACCTTGATACCCTCGTGAATTACCTTAATGAGTCTAACATTATAGGCTCGTCCTCCACAGAGTCTCCTCCAAGGTGAGCCAGCTGGTCCTCCGTATCAGTTCAGTAGCAAGAGGCACTTGAGAGGAGGGATGCACTTGAGAGGAGGGATGCACTTGAGAGGAGGGAGGCACTTAAGAGGAGAGAGTCACTTGAGAGCAAAAGGGATACTACTTCTTAGAAATATGGATCCGGTTAGGTTAGGTTAGGTTAGGTTAGGTTAGGTTAGGTTAGGTTAGGTTAGGTTAGGTTAGGTTGTGTCAAGCGTAATCATCAATTTGAGAATTACGACGAAAATAGGTATTATCATCATCATCATTATCATCATCCAGCAGTTGTATCATCTATAGGGAGTGAGGAGGGTGTGAGGAGTGTGAGGAGAGTGTGAGGAGGGTGTGAGGAGAGTGAGGAGAGAAAGGGGGTTGGCTGAGGAAGATAGATAGATAGATAAATAGATAGATAGATTAGTAACTGAAACAATTCATTAATCTTTAGTGAGTTTTAACACAAATACCTAGACGATACTTACCTGACGAAGGTGTAGAGTCCTGACGAAGGTGTAGAGTCCTGACGAAGGTGTAGAGTGTAAGGCCTTATTAGAGGGGCGGGAATGTGGCTTCGTGGGTGCGCCTGTTCGATAACCAATATATTTCAAGAACATTTTGTAACCTACCTCCTTGACTTAAATGTAAACACAGTATATTAGAGATTTCAATGGATAGCCTACATACATATTTTTTTTTACTTATATTTTTTCATTTCTTATTAATACTACTATTACTACTACTATTACTACTACTATTACTACTACTACTACTACTAATAATAATAATAATAACTCCACCTATATCATACACATCATTTCAACTTTAAGCTTATTAAAACTAAACTGCTTCTCCTCTTTTGTTTGAAGCTGAATTATGAAGCAGCTTGAAACAAAAGACAGTCTAGCTTGTTTATCTTATTGACGCCTTTATATCTCAGCGTTCTTTTGTTTGTGTTTGATATTAGTTATAAATAAGACAATGTTTCTGTTTATGTGTATTCTGAACCCGCCTCCATCATCACCTCATATTCTACCCACAACCCACAGCCACAGCCCACCCACACCCCCATCCACAAACCCACCTCTTCATCCACCCACAAACCCACCAAAACCACCCCTCCCTTCACACCTCCACCCACACCCCCATCCACAAACCCACCTCTTCAACCACCCACAAACCCACCAAAACCACCTCTCCCTCCACACCTTCACCCACACGCTCACCCACATTCCACCATCTATACAGTCGGATAATCACAGCTCTCATTACCTATCAAAGGCAGCAGTATTCTGGGACTGACTTCAAGAGAGAGACAAAAATCTCTCGACTGGGTGAAAAAGACCCAGCCATCGTGTGCTCTTACCGTTCATTAGCAAGTCGGGTAAGAACGACCTCTCTTGTGTGGGCATCAAAGACATGTGTGATGACTCCTCTTACTTGCTGAGGATGAAAGGTGATTCACAGTGTACATAACGGAATGGGATGGGACGGAATGGGATAGGATGGGATGGAAGGGAAGAGGGATGGGATGGGGGTGAAGGGATGGGGGGCAAGAGGAGGTTGTAGATGGATTGGGTAAGGAGATGGGGGAATGGGGGTGGGGGTACGAATGATGGGAAGAGGGAGAGAGAGAAGAGAGGAGGGGGGGAGGGGAATTTCTTTTAAGCTTCATTAATTAATTTTTGAGACGTAGAGTGACTAGATAATTATATTTATGTGATTAGGAATATACTAACCTCCCCCCCTACACACACACACATTATTATTATTATTATTATTATTATTATTATTATTATTATTATTATTATTATTATTATTATTATTATTATTATTATTATTATTTTTATTGCCGTTATCATCATCATTATTATTATCATCATCATCATTATCATCATCATCATTATCATCATCATCATCATCATCATCATCATCATCATCATCATCATCATCATCATCATCATCATCATCATCATTATCATCATTATCATCATCATCACCATCATTATTGACTCGTGTATCTCATGTGTTCAGGAGTGGGTGGACGAGCTGCTCAGATGGGACAAGAACGAATACAACGGTCTAGAAACTATCCGGCTCCCCTGCGAGAAGATCTGGCTGCCGGATATTGTTCTTTATAACAAGTGAGTGAACTCTAATTGTTCTTTATAACCAGTGATTTAGAGTTATGTGTTATGTGTCTGTATGTCTGTCTGTCTGTCTGTCTGTCTGTCTGTCTGTCACCAAAAGTTACGAGTGACGGCAGTAGCGTTACGGTTGCTGGTGACCGTAACACTGTCGCATGGTGGAGATGCATAACATTAGATTAATTGCTATTGATTCTAAAATTGCTTTAATTACAGTGAAGGACAGAAAGTAATTACACTGTGGACGTGGTGGAGAGTTTGTTTGTTTTGTTTGTTTGTTTGTGTGTTTGTTTGTGTGGTTGTGTGTTTGTTTGTGTGTTTGTTTGTGTGTGTGTTTGTTTATGTGTGTGTGTTTGTTTATGTGTTTGTTTGTGAATAGTGGCTTAAATTACCTAGGGGGAGGAGGAAGAGAAGTGAAGGGGGAAGGGAGGGGTGGGGGGAGATGGAAGGGTAGGGAAGGGAGAGGGGAAAGCAAAGAGAGAATGGAAAGGAACGGGGAAGATGAAAAGGAAGGGGGAGGTGGAAAGGAAGGAGGTTATGGAAGGGAAGGGGGCTAGGGGAAGGGAAGAAGGAAGGGGAAGAAAAGGGAAATGGGAAGGAAAGGTGAAGGGGGGGAAGGAGGTGGGAACAGACACAAAGATCATTCTTATAATAAATATTTTAATAAAGTAAAAAAAAAACTAAATAATAATAAAAACAAAAGAGACTTAATTATAAAAACAGCCTCCCCCCCCAAAAAAATTATCTGTACTTGAGGTGATCGATAAATTTCACAATGAACACTGTAACTCCTGTTGTCTCGGTAGGGTTGTCAAAATCCTTCGTCCACTGTGTCATATTATCTCATACAAAACCGTCACGATACTTTTTTGAGGGAGAGAATTAAAACACTATCACCAATATCTATATAACGGTAGCCATATATATATATCTATTTAGAGGATAAGTCATATGTAAACACCTGCTGGTTATTACGTCACGGAGAAGATAATTGAAGGATAATATTTACGTTTACAATGGGAGTGTGTGCAGCTGCCTCCTCCATCCTCTGGGAACTACTGTACTGTTTGTTAGTCGTGTTTCGGGGGAGGAGGGGAGGAGGAGGATTTAGGAGACACAAAACTGTTTTACATATACATATATATACATACACATGGACAGATACACACATAAAATATATAAATGCAGATTATACACACACACATAAAGTGCGAGACACACACACACACACACACACACACACAGACACACACACACACACACACACACACACACACACACACACACACACACAGAAAAACAAAAACACATATACACTCACAAAAATTGGATACAGGCAGAAGTAGATTATACAACAGCATCGACTTTATGTGTGTGTGTGTGTGTGTGTGTGTGCTCTGACTATCACACACCTCATTACTAAGGCTTCCAAAATAGTGTTGTTTCACTGATTCCTTCTAGTAGCTGGAGAGAGAGAGAGGTCTTTTCCTCTCTCTCTCTCACCCTTTATATTTCTCTCTCCTTTTTATCTTCAGCTCTCTCTCTCTCTCTCTCTCTCTCTCTCTCTCTCTCTCTCTGCTCTCTCTCTCTCTCTCTCTCTCTCTCTCTCTCTCTCTCTCCCCTCTGGTTCATTCCCTTTCCACCTTCGTCTCTCTGTTTCACTACCTACACCTTCCTTCCCCTCTCTTTCCCCTAACACAACCCCTCAACCAAATGCTCTCCCCTCTTCCGATTCGATTCTTCCCCTTATCACCCTTCCTCTTTCTCTTTTTCCCTCCATTTAATTCTTCTCCCCTTCTCCTCCTACCTCTCTCCTACCCTTCTGTCTTCCCCTCTCCGCAGCAAGGTACGTGTACACCCCAGACAATGGCTCCTTCTTACTGTACGCACACACACACACACACACACACACACACACACACACACACACACTGTATCTCAATATCTCATATCTCACTTCATAGAAAGACAGAATTATATTTTTTCAGTATTTTTTTTTTTTTTGGTAAACATTTAAATTACAGGAAGTGAAAACTGCTAAAATCGCATTGAAATTTTGAACTTTGGAATTTAAATTAAAGAGAACATTTATGGGTGAATATAAAGAGGAAATATTACGGATATCTTATGATAATAGTTGCCTCTGTATAAGGTCTTCTGCCTGCTTGGACTCTTCCGCTACGATACTAGAAGTTAGAGAAGGTCTTATGGAAATGGCTGGTCCCTGGGTGTTCCTCAAGGGGAGTATACACAATTGAACCTTCTCTAATTTATTCATTTACCTATAATTTATTAACTCATTCTATAATTTACCGATTTTTTGGGGCTGTTTTTCAGATTAATTTTTCATATGAGGAAAAAGTTTATAATTATATCTTGATCTTATTTTTTTTTTATTATTTTACGAAAATTTTCCCGACGAACTGAAAAACAAGAAGTTTAACCCTGCCTTCAGAGAGACTATCACACAGTAGCAACATAACAAGCTCGGTCTCCTCTTCCGGATATCCACATAGAAGAGTTTTAAGTTCAGTAACACTATCCACTAGCCCAGCGGAGCTAATAAGCGAGGAAAGTTGACGTTTGATGCAATAAACAAAAAAAATAAATAAATAAATAAAAAAAATAGCTCAAACTATACTCTGCTGGCCATCTTATAAACCTCCGTCTTATAAGTCCTATTTACTATGAGAAGTATAATGAAACAGTAGACAGTTTCATTATACTTTAGCTTGATGTTGAGTGGAGGATCATAAATCAATTGTGTAAAGGTTTCGTCTCTGAGATGGACTGTTGTTTTTTAGGTTAGGTTAGGTTTGGTTTGGTTAGGTTAGGTTAGGTTAGGTTAGGTTAGGTTAGGTTTGGTTAGGTCAGGTCTTAAGGTTCTTTATCGCTGTTGTAAATTGAATCTTATCTTGTGATGCTATTTTGTTTCTCTGATCGATGCTAAATAAAACAAAACACGAACCAAAGTTACATAATCTATACTCAAATAAATAATCCATTACATAGGCCTATACACCCATGTGCCTAATATATAATGAAATCTTAGCTAATTAAGGAGGAATTACTTACCATAACACCTATTATAAAGGGTAACTACAGATTTATCCTCACTAAAACAAAACAAAACATTAAAACACTACAATTATGGTATAGAAGTTAATGTGGAGTTTATAAAGTTAAATTTAACTAAAAAAGAATTATAGGTGGATGTTAATAATTATACATAAAGGCTAGAAAGGTTAGGTTAGGTTAGGTTGGGTTGGGTTAGGTTAGGTTAGGTTAGGTTAGGTTAGGTTAGGTTAGGTTAGGTTAGGTTAGGTTGGGTTAGGTTTGGTTAGGTTAGGTTAGGTTAGGTTAGGTTAGGTTAGGTTGGGTTGGGTTGGGTTAGGTTAGGTTGGGTTGGGTTGGGTTAGGTTAGGTTAGGTTAGGTTTGGTTAGGTTTCGTTGAGGTAAAGGTGTAGTGGATTAGCCAGCTGGTAGGGAGGTAATTACAGGAGTGTGTTGCATCAGCCGCCAGCAGCATCCTCCTCCTCCTCCTTCTCTCTCTCTAGTCTAGTATAATTACGAGTCACGTTGAGGATTTAACCCAAGCTGCTCCCGTAACTCAGCCTCACCTCCTTCTCCTCCTCTTCCTCCTCCTCCTCTTCCTCCTCCACCTCTTCCTCCACCTCTTCCTCCTCCTCCTCCTCCTCTTCCCCCTCTTCCTCCTCCTTCAGTACACAGTAGGAGGTACACACACACACACACACACCTCACAAAGCTCTCGTAAAATTAAATCAAAGAAGAATTAATCGAATGATTACCTAACCTAATCTAACCTAACGTAACCTAACCTAACCTAACCTAACTTAACTTAACCTAACCTAAAAGCGACAGAGTAATTTCGCATAGGTTAGGTTAGGTTAGGTTAGGTTAGGTTGAGCTTGATAAGCCTTGCAAAAAGGAAAAAAAAATATGTCGATCTTGTTCGTAGTCAATTTTTTTTAACATGGGATCGTTTGGTTGATCTTTCCTCTATCAAATAAAAACAAACAAACAAACAAACAAAAACAAACAAACACAGACACAAATAACTCAAGTCTGTATACAAATGATTCGTTTAACTCTACCACAAAAGGTGTAATGCAGTGAACTGACTTACCTGGCGTGACTGTTGTGTTCGTGAATTGACCTGAAAATTAGTTTATTGCACAAGAGTAACAGTGCGTAAATTACTGCTGCTGCTGCTGATCTGAAACTGGTGGAAAATATCTGCCAGGTTTCTCTCTCTTTCTCTGCTAAGCTGCTTCATATGTGACGAAAAGAGAGAGAGAGAGAGAGAGAGAGAGAGAGAGAGAGAGAGAGAGAGAGGTATAGCAGGAGAGGAGTTAGTAGTATGCCTCATTTACGAACTGAATTTTAAAATATTTCTATTATTTGATGTACTATGATTAAGCACAAAGTGGATTTTGAATCGTATTATGTTAGGTTAGGTTAGGTGTGATAACTTCTACATAATGATAAATATTAACGTAACTTCAAAATGGCTCTGTAGTCTCATGTAGATTATATCTGATACCTCATCCATGGAATACCTTAAGAGGCAGTATCAGGTGTCAGGGCCAGAGTGTTGTGGAGAGAATTTAGGTGGTGGGTGTAAAAAGGAGAACAGGTGAGACGGGCTACCTGGCTGAGATGATTACCGGGATTAAGGGCAGAATACCTTGTAAATATGGCTTAAGGTGAATTTGCTTGGTTTTTTTTAAAGGAAAGAGTTGGTGGGGAGCCTGGTGTGTGTGTGTGTGTGTGTGTGTGTGTGTGTGTGTGTGTGTGTGTGTGTGTGTCCCCGCTAAATAGAGATAAAGGAATAATCGGGTTTTTTTTATTGTTATGAATCCGGAAATTAATTTACATGTGAAAAAATTTACATTGTTTCATTATCACACAAGACGTCGTTTACAATCATGTGATATTCAAATTATACCTAAAGCGGGTTAGGTTAGGTTAGGTACGTTACGTTTTGTAAGAAGCTATTCATTTATATGTATTACTAGCAGAAACGCCGCCCTCCGGGCGGCTCATTCGCTAGGCCACGGTAGGACGCCACCCTCCGAGAGGCTCCGCATGTCTCACTGTTCAGTCCCCAAAACTTTTTCTTCCACCAATAGTTCATTAACGGTGTATGTAAGTTCCACCATATTTTTCACTACAACGGTACAGCAAAGTATATTTTTTTAGCATTAAACTGTTATTATTTTATTGTCTAATCATCACTACATATAACACCATCCATCATCACTACACCATCCATCATCACTACATACAACACCATCATCATCACTACATATAACACCATCCATCATCACTACAGATCGGTAAAGTAGTTTCCTAGATTCTCGTGCGGACACACAAACAAACAGACAGACTTCTTTGTTTTATATATATATAGATTACAAGGACAAATGATTAGATTTACTAAAAATGTTGACTGAAGTGAGAGAAAACGCAAGGAAAAATCTCAACAAATATTGGATCGTCGGCCATTACCTTGCCAACACTTGTATTGACGCCTTAATGAGCCGCGAGACACTGGTGCTGAGTTTAGAACATTCCGTTCTTACTGCCTTAATTCTCTGACGCTGTTGTACACGACCGAGTTAAATGTGCCCACGGGTGAACCAATAGGCTGCTGACACGCCGGACAACATTGATGGCCATGTAAAATTTTGACTATATAGGCCGAAATACTGTTGTTCGAAAGTGCATCTGCTAGCATGTATTGGCAAGGGCAGCCCGGAACCTTCAGGAACTCCGCCGAGTGGGTCCCATAGGCCACCCTTCTTGGCCAACCTCCTTAGGTGCGGAGGCAGCAGAGAGTCTTCAGGACTCCGCCGAGAGGGCCAGAACAGCCGCCCTCACGCCCCAAAGGAGTGATGCTAGCGAAGGTCCCGCTGGACCCCCGAGTAAGGTTAAGATTTTTCCTCTATTTATCTCTAAGACTGAGAGAGGGAACACTAGCTATTGACGCTAAGAGTATCTACTGCCATATAGTGATATATTTATTACTTATTCTCAAGTGGCGTTCACAACACACCGAGACTTTGGTGTTTGTTTCTGTGAGTGAGGAATACAGTCCCCAGTAACTTACATAAGGTATAGGTATATAGTCCCCAGTAACTTATATAAGGTATAGGTATATAGTCCCCAGTAACTTACATAAGGTATATACTGGTATTAACAATATTAACAGTAATTACCACTACTTACAGGTGTTATGTTGACGTTTCATATTTTGATATTTATAGATAAGCAGCTAATGAAGTGCTAATTTTTCACGATACTAATACGAGTTTCTCTTTTGTGTACGTGTGAGCAGCGCTGACGACTACACGAGGGGGTACATGCAAAGTAAAGCCATGGTAGGATACGAGGGGAAGGTGTTCTGGCCCCCACCTACGAAGTTCCGCTCTACCTGCCCTGTTGACGTCACCTACTTCCCCTTCGATGACCAGACCTGTATCCTCAAACTCGGCTCTTGGATATACGACGGTTTCCAGGTGAGTGAGTGAGTGAGTGAGTGAGTGGTGAGTTGAGAGGTGAGTTGAGTGAGTGAGTGAGTGAGTCATAAGATGTACAGACAGATGTTTTAGGTGAAGTTCAAAAGAAGAAAGTACAGTTGGTGACATTTCCGACTAGTACACTCAGTATTGTCAGTACACCCTATCCGTGAGTTGTGAACCCCGAAAGTATCGACTCGTGAATCCGAAGAATTCACTAGTGAGGTGGGCCACGGGGGGGTCGGTGTGTGAGTGGGTGGCGGGTTACGGGGGTTGAGGTGGGTGTTCGGGGCTAGAGGGATGGTGAGAGGGTTAAGGAGCAACGCAGTTTTTATTAAACAAGAATATAAATACATAGGGCAAAACACAAAGTGTGCTTAGAATGTGTTACTGCAGATTACGGTGATATTCCCGGTTTGTGCTACAGGTCTGAGCGATTTTTTCAGGTTTTTTATGCAACTCTCGCGTAATCTAGGGGTGACAGAGGAGGGGCTGGAGTCTCAATATTATTGATTATTGATATATTGTCTTTTGCCGTAAACATATACCCAGAGGAGTTGAGAAACTACATTTATTATAAGTAACATTTATGTGTGAATGACAATAATAAGTCAGTTGACAGTAGTTCATCTGTTGCAAGCATTTCCTGTTTGGTTATAGTATCAATACAGATTACCAAATAGAGCGTCAATGACTTCTGTCTACTAGACGGTACAGTTAAGGTGAGATGGTGTGACGTAAGGAGACTTACAACTAATCATTATCAACCATAAACCACCATAATTAACTAACCATCTTACCCTGACCACCACAACTAATCATTATCAACCATAAACACCATAATTAACTAACCATCTTACTCTAACCACCACAACTAATCATTATCAACCATAAACCACCACAATTAACCAACCACCTCACCCTAACCACCACAATTAACTAACCATTCTAAACCAATCACCACAACTAACCAACCACCTCACCCTAACCACCCCCAACTAACCTCCCCAATAAACGATCCCACCCTAACCACCCCAACTAAGCACCCCCAACAAGACAGATAGTTATGGTAGATCTAAACACCTCCCTCCTCCTCCTCCTCCTCCTCCTCCTCCTCCTCCTCCTATCCTCCTCCTCCTCCTCCTCCTCCTCCCTCCTCCTCCTCCTCCACACAGTCTGCGATTAGATGATGATTAATTCAATTCAATATATTATTTGTCCCGAGTGCTGACGAGGAAGTAGGAGATGGGGTGGTGGCAATGTCGGTGGCAGTGGCGGAAGGGAAGTGGCAAGAGGGTAGTAGGGAGTGATAGTGGTTGGGGTGGTGGCAGTGGCTGTAGGGGGTTGGTAATGGTGGGGGGGGTGGCAGTAACAGCTGGGGGAAGGGTAACTGTGAGTGACAGCCGTTACTTCCCGTTGTGGTCAAATTGAGGATCTCTGTGTAAGGGAAGGAAGGAAGGAAGGAAGGGAGGAAGGAAGGAAGGAAGAGAACTGCAGCTGTGGAAATTCTTGAGTCACAGCTACTGAAACTGTAGGAAGGAAGGAAGGAAGGAAGGAAGGAAGGAAGGAAGGAAGGAAGGAAGGGAACTGTAGCTGCGGAAATTCTTGAGTCACAGCTGTGGAAACTAAGGTTATTTGAGCGAGAATTTCCTGAGATAAAACAGCGAAAATTGTCTTGAGTTAGTCAGCTAAACTTCCACTGGAGCCATGAATTGTGTGATTACAACGGCGCAAACTTATTGGCTTACGTGGGTGAAACTATCGAACTCATGACGTCACCAACTATTAAATGACGTCATGAGAGGATAATGGTTTGCTTTGTCCACTATTTAGGGTGTTGACTGTGTCCGTTATTTAGAGGGTTTCCTATTGGTGAAAATGTTACCTTTGTAGTTCTGTATATCAAGAAGTTTACCTCACGTTGATACAGTACATAAAATTTCTCATTTATTTTACGTCTCCTGATTTCGTATTTTCTTTTTGTTTCTTTGTTTCTTTGTTTCTTTGTTTCTTTCTTTTGTTTTCGTATTTTCTTTGTTTGTTTCTTTGTTCCTTTCTTTGTCTTGTTTTCGTATTTCCTTTCTTTCTTTCTTTCTCTTGTTTTAGTATTTCTTTGTTTGTTTTTCTTTCCTTCTTTCTTTCTTTCTTTCTTCCTTTCTTTCTTTCTTCCCGCCCTCTACTACACCGTCAGGACCTGCTGGTGTTAAGGGCGTGATCAGCTTGGCCGCGCTGTAGTCGTCTCTCCAGTCGTATTTATGATCAGCTGATTACTCGCCAGGACAAAATGATCTCCAGTTGTGATCAGCGAAACGGTCGTAGATTTTCCTGCCGAGTCCCACATTTTCTTTAACATGTGGGAGGGGGAGGGGAAAGATTTTTATGTATTGTCTGTGTGTATAGAGGAAAAAAAAGTCTTCCTTCCAACATATGTGGGGGAAAAAATCTCATATCTTACCTGTGTGTGGGGGAAAAAATCTCATATCTTACCTGTGTGTGGGGGAAAAATCTCATATCTTACCTGTGTGTGGGGGAAAAATCTCATATCTTACCTGTGTGTGGGGGAAAAATCTCATATCTTACCTGTGTGTAGGGACAAGATGGCTCATTGATAAATTATTCCAGTTCTTATACTCGAGAGTCAATGTTGGTAAGATATTAAATCCAGGTTACTATATCAATTTTATTTTCATTTATTAATTCATATTTTTACCTTTACTCTCCTTGTGATTATTCCTTTCACAACCTGGAATAATTATTAAGTTATTAAATAAATCAATATAACCCCATCACAACCCGGGCTTAACACAAGTAATACACATGTTTCTGTTTACTCAACCCGTAAAGAACTAACTTGTTAATCTGCTAATTTACAGTCACATAAAATTCTGTCTTTCAAAACAGCGTAAAAAAAAATATAGAGTAAAAACGCTTTAATGAAACGTATTTACACCTGTACACGACACACAGGTTGTATAAAACACCATTGTAAGCTTTCCATCAACAATACTTACCTGAGAATTCAACTTAATATCCACATAAATATTGACATGGAGCTTTGTGTGTGTGTGTGTGTGTGTGTGTGTGTGTATGTGTGTGTGTGTGTGTGTGTGTGTGTGTGTGTTGATCTAATAATTATCATCTTATTTTCTTAGTACAACAACAAGTAAAAAATAATAATAATAATCTTGACTATAAAAAAAATATAATTATTCTTGACTAATTTGTTTTCCTACCGACCAGGATTAATAAAAAACAAAACATTTTATCATTAAAGGAAGGAAAAACAACATGATTGATAGGTTATCTTTGGTAGTCTGGTGAAAATAATCCAAAACATTGCGTCGATGATAAAGTTGTTTTGACCGAGAGAACGAGACAAAATATTGCTGTGTCTCGTGGAGATAATTGAGAGAGATTGAGATAATGTTTGTTTCTACAGAGAGAAGACATTAATGAAACGAGGAGTAGAGAGAAAAAAGAAGATAATAATTGTCAGTGTTAATTTACGTTTATTTTTGTAAATGATAAGGTAAGTTTTTAACCTATGACGTTAAATCAACAGTTCAAAAATGGCGTCGGAATTATACTGAGGCTATAGTAATTATTATATAATTTTATCTTAATTACCACATGTACCACCCTTGTACCGTTCTGTACCACATGTACCACCCTTGTATCGCCCTGCACTACATGTACCAACCTTGTATCGTTCTACACCACATGTACCACCCTCTCTCTCTCTCTCTCTCTCTCTCTCTCTCTCTCTCTAGGTACAGTACAGTTGCCAACACGTGTAATGTCCCTACCCCTAGACTGCCATACCGTACATGTGGCAAGGTCGAAATCGCTCTATCAATGAATCGATAACTTGACCAGAGCAGTTATCAAAAAAAATTCTGTCAGCATTTAGCGTATTGTGAGATTTATGCTGAGCTAAATGAATGATGTAATGTTTGTAAAAAGAAGCATTGTTTATGATTACAGCAAAATATGGAACTTGGTGTAGATAATAATAGTGTTACTTTATCTTGTCGGATACTTTTTTGCCATTGGTCGGCATTCTCGGGTGGTTGGGCAATTCTCTTGTTACGCACTGTTGGCAAGTACTGGTGGGCATGAACTGGCTCAAGAGTGTAATTACCATTCTGATGGCTCTCTTTTGGGATGTTAATCAATCACCTGACTGTCTCCAACATATCAGACTGTTACTCCCCCCTCCCCCCCCCCATCCCCCACCCCGTTGAGGACGATACCGTACCCCACAAGCACCGAGTCTCCCAAAACACAGGGTACAGACAATCTCATATTACCATTCTATGAAATCACGCTGGTGGAAACATGAAAAGTTGGAAGAGGAAAATGTTACGAGACAAACATGACTACAATAACATTCTCAAGATACCGTGACCGAAATACGACGTGAGAATGGGGAGTTGAAAGGGAATCTGTTGAGCGTCTTGGCTGAATATGTGAGAAGAAAAAAAAACTTTGATTTTTTTATTAAGCTTACAAGATGGAAACTGGGATTTTTCTTGACTTTATTAACCAGGTGTATTTGTTTGTGTTTGACTGGGATTTTTCTTGACTTTATTAACCAGGTGTATTTGTTCGTGTTTGTTACAGGTGGACGTGACCAATAGGACAGCAGAGGTAGACCTGACCAATTATATTCCCAATGGAGAGTGGGAGCTCCTGGAGGCGAGGATCATCAGAAACGTTATCTACTACTCCTGCTGCCCTGAGCCCTTCCCTGACGTCACTATCACCATCACTATTAGGTAGGGTAAAGTCTCTGTCACTATCAGGTGTGTTGATGTCACTATTATCATCACTATCAGGTGTGTTGACGTCACTATCACCATCACTATCAGGTGTGTTGACGTCACTATCACCATCACTATCAGGTAGGGTAAAGTTACTGTCACTATCAGGTTTGTTGATGTCGCTATTATCATCACTATCAGTTTGGTTGAAGTCACTATCACCATCACTATCAGGTGTATTGAAGTCACTATCATCATCACTTTCATTATTAGGTGTTTTGACGTCATTATCCAATCACTATCAGATGGGTTAACACTATCAAGTGGTTGAAGTCATTATTACTATCGCTATCAGGTGTGTTGACGTCACTATCAGGTATGTTGACGTCATTATCTATTGTGTTGACGTCATACCATATCTTTAACCATTAACCATCATTACCATAATATCTCACAGCTACCAATTTAATGCCAGTGTAAACATTGTCTTACCCTCCTCCCCTGCCAGACGCAAGACGCTCTATTACATGTACAACGTGGTCCTCCCCTGCATGATGATGTCGGTGTTGACGCTGCTGGTGTTCTGTCTCCCGCCGGATTCAGGAGAGAAAATCGCCCTCGGTGTCACGGTCCTGCTCGCCTTCAGCGTCTTTATGCTCGCCATCGCTGAAAAGATGCCCGAGACCTCTGAATCCATCCCGCTGATTGGTGAGTTCTTGTTTACATCCATGAAAGAGGATGGGTTTTCTAGGGAGGTGATTGGTTGATTGGTTCTTGTAATTTTGGTGAGGTTATGACGTCATCTGTATCTCGTGTGGTTATTGGTTGATCTGTTGTGGAAGTTTGATAGCTGATCTGTATCGTGTGAGTTGATTGGTTCTCGTCTTTTTGTTGGTGTGTGTGTGTGTGTGTGTGTGTGTGTGTGGATGTGTTTTTTTTTTGCATTATATTTTGCATTTAATCAAACTAATGAGTAAAGAATAAGACTAAGTATTATTATCCTGACAGGTGTTGGGGGTGGTCAAGGAAGGTAAGTTTTGATGGCAGCCAGGTGTGAAGTATAGATATGGTGGTGGTGGAAGTGCTAATTAGACCGCCTCGTTATGAATTCAATATTTACCTCTATTTATAACAAGATGAATCGGTAAGTGCCATTTGAGTTGTTAATTATAGTATTGTCATTCTCACATTTATCCGATCGTTATTTACATTACATTTTGGCTCATCATTTTGCGTATATTTTCCTTCTTGTTTTTTCCCGATCAGGAGATGACGGGAGATATTACTGAAATTCCCGGGAGATACGAGTAATAGCCTTCAATATTGACCTAATTGCTTCCTTTGGCTCACGATCGTCACCACAGGTCGACGGATGAGATGAGACTCCCTCCTCTCTGTGTTTACCCAACGATAGCTTATCAACACACACACACACACACACACACACACACACAGTTGATTCAGATTCATGTTCCTCTCATATTGACTCGTGTGATTCACTTCCTTTGACCTTGACCTCTTTTCTTCTTCCTCACTCCTCCTCCATCCAACCTCCCTACACACGCACACACTCACACACACTCACACACACACACACACACACACACACACACACACACTCTACATGCTCGTCCGAACTCCAAACTCCATTTCACTTGTTTTTGGAAGCTTGTTGTTTTAGTATGACCTGAACACTTGTATTCCTCACAGTAAGACAGAATATTAATTACACTACCCTATAATGGACTTGTCTTATAACTTCTGTAATATCCCAACTAAACTACAGTACATTCAATACAAATATTAACCCCCCCCCCCTCTCCCTCTTTCTGTAATACTGTACCCCACATTACCTTACACGTTACTGAACTCCCTATTACATTGATTTTCAGGATCATAAGTAACCTATTCTTCCTTACCTATTTTGTTTGTCATGTGATAGACTGTGACGTGTTTCATTGTTGTGTTATATAGTGTTTACGTTTCTCTACCAGTGTTGGGAACTTTGTACTTTCCTTCTCTTGGGCTTTGTTTATTTACCTGTTGTTAAAACTTGTTATACACCTGTGTTCGTTTGCTTCCTGTTCTTGTTTTACCTTTTAACTGCATTAACCACTTGCCCTTGTCGTTTGTTTCCTCTCTCTCTCTCTCTCTCTTACTCGTTTCCCTTTGCCTGCCTCAGTTACCCCTCACCTGTTCCCTTACCTGTCTCAGTATTCCCTCACCTGTTCCCCTCACCTGCCTCAGTATCCCCTCACCTGTTCCCCTCACGTATCTCTCTCATCACTTCGAGTTTCCACACACACACACACACACACACACACACACACACACACTTACGAGACTCACCCCACACAGGCAGTCATCGTCATCATTGTCGTTGAAAGGTAAATGGAGGACTCGTACGTCTAGAAGAAGAGAGACTGTGAAGGAGGAATAAGTCATCTCTTAGTATCTAAAGGGAAGGAAGATTGTGAGGTGGTGGAGAAAGGGATAGGCTTGTATATACCTAGAGGGGGAGGGAGGTGGTTGTGAAGGGAGAAGGAACAGCTAATCTCAGGTACACACCTTGAGGGAGGGAGGGAGGGAGGGAGACTGATGAATGGAGCCAAGGGAGGGTGGGAGGGAGGGATTTGAGTGGAGCAGATCACAAAGCCTTGCATATACAGCACTGCCAGGGAGGAAGGGAGGGAAGGAAGGGAGGGAAGGAAGGCAGGAGGAAGGAAGGAGAGAGGAGGGGGGCTGATACCCCTGTCCTGTAATTGACTTAGTGAACTGCAGGTAACACTGTGTTGCTTCGTTCTGCACAGGTGTGTTGGTGGAAATCTCTCTCTCTCTCTCTCTCTCTCTCTCTCTCTCTCTCTCTCTCTCTCTCTCTCTCTCTCTCTCTCTCTCTCTCTCGTTTACAGTAACTCAGCTTAACTGTATAATACAAGCCAAGAGCTAGGCCACTGGGTCCTCATTGTCACTCTGAGAAAAATCCGCAGTACTGACGAAGTGGCTCCTCCTTCCTCAGTAGACTTACCACATTGCTATAACACACACACACACACACACACACACACACACACACACACACACACTATGATAAACCTTCACTCGGGTGGAATCAGTTGTTTTTTAGTAGAGTAAATGTTTGAACGAGTTACACAGAAATGTTGTGGAAAAAAATGTGGATGTTTTTTTTTTTTTCATTTTCAGTGACCAAATCGCGTTAACTTCCCGACAAACGGACGTATATTTTAGGTAGCAAAATTGAGTTGCTTTTTGTGTTGTTAGTTTTCCATGCCTTACGTCAAGTATTTCCATTGACACCTAAAAGCGTCAAGAATAGATTTTGTTTTCATACATGATACATAATTGATATATAATAATACTTGTGTAGTTTATATGAGGCTGTAAACATGATTATTGTATACATATTATGATTCACCTTAAGATTAATCACCCTAACCTAACGCTTCCCTAACCTAACCTAACCAAACCAAATCAAACCTAACCCAACCTAATCCAACCTAATCCAACCTAACCTGACCTAACCTAACCTGACCTAACCCAACCCAACCTAACCTAACCTAATCCAACCTATCCTAACCCAACCTAACCTAATCCAACCTATCCTAACCCAACCTAATCTAACCTAACCTAACCCCCACTAGCAGCATTAGGGTGTTTAATCTTCAGGTGAATTAAGCTGGGAAGGGAAGGATCATTTTCAGGTTAAAAATATTCAGCATTTTTTTAATTTTTTTTCGGAATCTGTTTGGTTTTTTTTTTGTCCTTGTAGTTCGTTTTCTTCTCTTTTTTTCTTTCTTTTCTTTTTATTTTATCTTTCTTTGTCTCTCTCTCTTTTTCTACAGGTTTTATTCTCCTGTTTGGTAATAATTCTTCCTCATCCCTCTCATCATTACCTTTCCCTCCTTCCCCCCCTCACTACCCTCCCCTTGCCCCACCACCTCCCTTCGTCTCCCCACTACCCTCATCTCCCCTACCCCCCTTGCAGCCCCCACCACCTCCTTCGTCTCCCCACTACCCTCATCTCCCCACTACCCATCTCCCCTACCCTCCCCTCGCCGCTCAAACTCCCCTCCCCTTATTACATATTAAGTCAATACACAGAATTTTTCCTCTTAATTCTTTGTTTCATTTCCTCTTTCCTTCCCTGTTGTCCTCCCCACCACCCTTTTCCCCCTTTCCATCCCCTTTCCACCCTTTCATCCCCCCTTTCCACCCCTTTCATCCCCCTTTCCCCCTTCATCCCCCTTTCCATCCTTTTCCTTCCATCATCTTTTTCCACATAATCAACAGTCTCTTTAATATTCTCCCTCTCATTTCTTTAAGGGTGAATTTGCATTTTAATTCTCTCTCTCTCTCTCTCTCTCTCTCTCTCTCTCTCTCTCTCTCCATACTTGTTTCCAATTCTTAAAAAAAAAAACCACTTGATTTAATATCCCTCTGAAGAGTTTATTACGGGAACTCATGGCTCTTATAATTGCTCTGGGAGTCACTTTGATCGACGATTTTTTTCAGGATTTACTCGTCTGGTTGTACAAGTTTGTTATTATTTTTGTTTTGGTGTTTGTTTTGGAATTACTTGAAATTCAGATTCATGTTGTATTTTGTTTTTGAGTTACTTGAAGTTTCCCTCTTACCTTCCTTTACTTTTCTGTCTCTCTGAATCTCCTTTCTCTCCTTCCCTTCCTTCTTCCATAATCCCTCCCTCCATCCCTCCCTCCTTCCCTCTTACCTTCCTTTACTCTTCTGCCTCTCTGAATCTCCTTTCTCTCCTTCCCTTCCTTCTTCCATAATCCCTCCCACCCTCCCTCCTTCCCTCCCTCCTTCCCCCTTTCTCTCCATCTCGCTCTGTGGTGGAAGGAAAAAAAATTATTGTAAGGAACTATCACGTGCTGTGCCAGGTAGGAAAATTACCTTTACGACAGGTGAATAGGGGAATTCCCGGGAGACTTTACTTTGCAGGTTCGACAGATAGAGGGTCTTTGTAGTCTCCCTTGGGCTGTGCTATCCTGAGGGGGGGAGGGGGTGGTTGGAGGAGGGAGGTGAGTGGGAGGAGAAGGTGGTGGTGGTGTGAGGAAGATGAGGGAGGGGGTGATGGGGGGGTGTGTGGAGAAGGCAGGTGAGGGTATGGGGAAAGGATGTGATTGGTATCAAGAGAGTGAGGAGATGAGGGGAGTGTTATGTGTGAAGTAAAGAGGCCTATACTGTTTATCTCTCTCTCTTTCTCTCCTCTCTCTCTCTCTCTCTCTCTCTCTCTCTCTCTCTCTCTCTCTCCAGCTACAGACAGCCACGCCTCTAACCACCCACTCTCCACTTTTTCCCCTACGAGGAATCTGCCTGACAGCGGTAATGACCATCACCTCCATCAGTATCATCATGACCATCATCGTGTTGAACTGCCATTACCGAGGACCTATCAGCGTGGTGCCCGCCCTGGATGAGAAAATTGCAGCACCTCTCTCTCTCTCTCTCTCTCTCTCTCTCTCTCTCTCTCTCTCTCTCTCTCTCTCTCTCTCTTTCTCTCTCCTCTCTCTCTCTCTCTCTCTCTATTTACCTTTCTCTCATCTTATTGTCGTCTTTCAACTGTTATTTGTCCGTTTGTCCCTTCACATGTCCTCTCGCTTACCCCTGTCAATTCCCTCATCCCCTCCACCCACTAACATCCCACTCCTCACTAAGCATCCTACTCACCCCCTCACATCCTCTTACTCACTCCCTCTCTCCAACTCAGTACTCTCTCATCCCTTGCCTCTCACATCCCCCTCACCTCCTCACATCCCAATCACCCCTTCGCTCCCTCTCTCATCCCATTCTCCCTCACCTCACACCCACTCCCACCCCCACTCATACCAACTCACCCCCTCTCATCCCTCACCCCTACTACCACTTTCCCACCCCCACTCATCCCATCACCCTCTCGCATCCCTCACCCCTCATCTCTCACCCATCTCGCCACTCATACCCACTCACCCCTCTCACATCCCACTCACCCCTCTCACCTACCACTCACATCCCACTCATACCCACTCACCCCTCTCACATCCCACTCACCCCTCTCACCTACCACTCACACCCCACTCATCCCACTCACCCCTCTCGCATCCCACTCACCCCTCTCACATCCCACTCACATCCCACTGAACCCTCACATACCACTCACACCTCACTCACCCCACTCACATCCCACTCACCTCTCACACATCCCACTCACCCCACTCACATCCCACTCACTCCACTCACATCCCACTCCTCCCTCTCACATCCCTACCCACTTAGTTATACTTGTTTTGTTAACCCTTGACCCGAGAAGCCTGTCTACACAAGAAAGCTTTTAACATCTGTTGTAAATGAAGGTAAAACTTTCCTAATTATCTCAGCACCTTACGTTTTAAGGCCCGTTAAATAGGCCCCATTCCTATTAGATCTCATTCCTATTAGTGCTTATTCCTATTAGTTCTCATTCCTATTAGTCTGCATTACTGTTAATTCCCATTCCTATTAGTCATCATTCCCGTTAGTTCTCATTCATGGGTGGTTCCCATTCCTTTTAGTGCTTATTCCTGTTAGTTCCCATTCCGATTATTTTCCATTCCTATTAGTTTTCATTCCGATTAGTTCTCATTCCTATTAGTTCTCAATTTTGTTAGTTCCTATTCCTAATTAGTTCCTATTCCTAATTAGTTCCCATTAAAGTTGAGTTACCATTATTCATGAGGCCCATTAGGTCTTTGTCCACAAATTGAAGGGGTGATTACGCTAAGTTGGTCCCTATTAGAGAATGGCGCCTATTAGAAGTGAATCCCTATTTCAATGGGACTTCCAAGACAGCCAGGTATTAGACGTAGTTACCTTGCTGTAGAAAATATAATGGAAAGGTAATTGGAATAATTATTACTCCTATTTTCATTATAATTTATTCAGAAACCTTAAACTAAATATGTGTGACAGACTTGATATGTAGTACACCTGAACCACACCTGACCCACACCTCACCCACACCTGAACCACACGTTAACCACACCTTAACCACACCTTGATTAAGAGACTAATTATACAGCCTCTTTACAAAAAATGTCTTCCATCACTGATTAGATCTGACGTCACTGGTAACACCTCCCTAGATACGACGATTGGAAATACGTTTACTCTTAACCAATCCGTAGCATGAGCAGGTGATTAGAGTGCGTGAGAGGTGTTGATTAGAGTTCGTGGGGCTTGATTCACACCTTCCTTACTGCTGTCAATTGCTGTTGTAGGGTGGTTGTTAATTATGTGCTAGCCTGCTGTAAACTCTTGCTGTAAACTCTTGCTGTAAACTCTTGCTGTAAACTTTTGCTGTAAACTTTGTTATTGGATCTTACGTGTCTCTTCTTGTTCTTGTTATTCTTGTTCTTATTCGTCTTGTTTTTGTTCTTCTTGTTCTTGTTCTTGTGCTTCTTGATTGTGTTCTTGTTTTTGTTCTTCTTGTTTTTTGTGTTTCTTGTTCTTGTTCTTCTTGTTCTTGTTCTTGTGCTTCTTGTTCTTGTTCTTCTTGTTCTTGTTCTTGTTCTTCTTGTTCTTGTTCTTCTTGTTCTTGTTCTTCTGTATTATTATTATTATTATTATGCTGTTTACCCATTATCACCACACTTAATATTCTTATATATGTTTACAGTATTATATATTTTTTCTCTTCTTGTTTACTCTGCTTAAATGACCCCTGCTTAAGTGAACCCTGCTTAAGTGAACCCTGCTTAAGTGACCCCTGTTTAAGTGACCCCTGCTTAAATGACCCCTGCTTAAGTGAACCCTGCTTAAATGACCCCTGCTTAAGTGACCCCTGCTTAAGTGAACCCTGCTTAAATGACCCCCTGCTTAAGTGACCCTGTTTAAAGTGACCCTGTTTAAGTGAACCCTGCTTAAGTGAACCCTGCTTAAGTGAACCCTGTTTAAGTGACCCTGTTTAAGTGAACCCTGCTTAAGTGACCCTGTTTAAGTGACCCTGTTTATGAACCCTGCTTAAGTGAACCCTGCTTAAGTGAACCCTGCTTATGAACCCTGCTTTATGAACCCTGCTTAAGTGACCCTGTTTAAGTGACCCCTGTTTAAGTGAACCCTGCTTATGAACCCTGCTTAAGTGACCCTGTTTATGACCCTGTTTAAACCCTGCTTCCCCTGCAAGCTTAAGAACCCTGCTTAAGTGAACCCTGTGAACCCTGCTTATGAACCCTGCTTACCCTGTTTAAGTGACCCTGCTTAAGTGACCCCTGTTTAAGTGAACCCTGCTTAAGTGAACCCTGCTTAAGTGAACCCTGCTTAAGTGAACCCTGCTTAAGTGAACCCTGCTTAAGTGAACCCTGCTTAAGTGACCCCTGTTTAAGTGAACCCTGCTTAAGTGACCCCTGTTTAAGTGAACCCTGTTTAAGTGAACCCTGCTTAAGTGAACCCTACTTAAGTGAACCCTGCTTAAATGACCCTTGCTTAAGTGACCCCTACTTAAGTGACCCCTGCTTAAGTAACCCCCCTTGCATGGCAGTCCTTCCAACCTCTAGAATATTATATTTCCCTGCTTTCCTGAACCTTGATTGAACACCTGCTATATGCTTCTTAATTACCACCATCTCTCACCTGTAACCCTTCCCTCCCACACACCTGCTGACAGACACCTTACTCATCCTCCTCTCTGCTTTATCTGCCTTCGCCATTATAAGCTACAGGTGTTATTTAAAATTTTAATCAGAATTCCTTCCATCCAAATGACAAAACTTTTTTCATCATTAAAAAAATTTATATGATTAATTATTGGATTTTTTTTTGAGATGATGGGTGATTAATTGGGTGAATATTTGGTTCTTGTTTTGAGTGATATGAATTTTATGGTTGAGTGGGAAGGAGGGGAAGGTAGGGGGTTGGGGGGGGGTTGTTGCTTGTTGGTGTTGTGAGGGTAAGAAAGATTACAGTAAGTGGTTCCTCTGTTATATTGTGTAATGTTATGGTGTTTGGTGTAACCTGGCGTTTGTATTATTATTATTGTTATTATTATTATTATTATTAGTTGTAGTATTGTTATTTGTATTATTATTATTATTATTATTATTATTATTATTATTATTATTATTGAAATTTAAAAAGGGACTCAATAAATAAGACAACTTAGCCCTCGTTCACGCTTGTAATCAATGTACCGTGTTGTACCGCTGCTTACCTGAGTGGCAAGTTACCTGTACCATCTAAGTGTTGACTGGCAAGACACCTTTAACGTCCCAGAGCACTGATTGACCTACTTTGTGTACGAGAGTTTGTCTATTGGTCAGATCCACTATATCATTGTTACACGATATAGTGACTTATGTAGTAACGAACATACGGGAGTTTTACGATAGAAATAGAAAACTTGATATATCGTTTGGTGATACATGAATAAAGGTTATCGTAATGTGTTAAAGTTATGTCTTAGTCTGGGACGATTTGTAGGTTCAGCGTCGTCCAGGTTCACTCGTTAAATATGACCAAAATATACTCTCTGTGGTCATAACCTGAAGGAGACTCAAGCGGCGTCCACATGCCATAAAACAGACAGTGCCAAGGCAGGAGGAGGCTAGCGCAGGTGAGTCTGGCGTTGCACTGACCATGAGTGTTTGCCGTGGATGGTATAATCTTGCTCGGTTACGTTCATCATTTGTTCAAGACGTAAACAGATGCCACAGGGAGACTCAACATTCACACAACTTCTTTGGAGGAAAATTTTTGGGGAAAAATAGTATGAAGATATAAAAGAAAATATCCATAACCAAACTGCAAGAACCCATTTCAAATATTTTTTTCCGCTAAATCAAAAATTCTTTCAACGGCGCGTCTACGCATTCCCGACTTCCAGGAATGTGTAGATGCGCTCTTTACACACATATAGATATAATACATTTGTTTTGCTTGGTCCACGAAATAAACTGACAGACATTAGAGTTTCGTTATTATTTCTGTTGTCATAAGTAACATCATCATTGCTTAGTATTTCTCGTGTGTCAACTAAACCCCCTTACACCACACCGCCTGCATTATGACCCCTCGCTGTCAGGTCCCGGCCAGAGGTAATATACTTCGTTCCGCCACGCACCTCTGTCTGGTCACCCTCCACCTACTTGAAAATTATTGAATGAATTAGCATCGAAAAAAATAATTAAAAGTTTACTAAATGTTGCCGTTGACGTTTATAATTATCATGAAATAAAGATCAAAGTAATATTTCTATGTTAGAATAATGTAGTGTTTCTTATGCCATGTTTACCGCCACCGTCACAAACACCATTTACGTGTGTGTGTGTGTGTGTGTGTGTGTGTGTGTGTGTGTGTGTGTGTATAGAGTCACATGTGTGTTTTTCAGGTGTGTTTGTGGATACTTGTGTTCCTTGTGTATAAAGAAGTGTCTGTAGGGTATGTTTGGATTATCCACAAATTCCTCTAATCAACTCAAGATTATTTATCTTAAATTCTACACATTTTTAGTCTCTATTTCTTTATATATAAATTTAAAAAAATCACTGTTTTTCTCATGGATGTATTAATATTAAGAGTTAATTCCTGATTAGTAAATGCCCATCTATAGAAGCAAAAATTCCATATACAAATACTCATATCATTTAATTCTTTCAATAAATGCCCACAAAATAAATTCACTTGGGTAAAATCTTCACAGGGAGCCATCTTTAACCACTCATATATGGTATGTGTTATTTATTGAAGACCCTCATCTATTCGTTAACTTCCTTCAAGCCACTTAGGTAAATTAAACATTGTCTTAACCACATACTGAGAGCTTATTAAAGAGAAGGAAGGGAGAGAGAGGGAAGGGGAGAGGGAGGGAGTGAGGGAGAGAGGGATGGAAGGGCAAATTTCATGTTACTTCATAAATTATAATCGTGTATGACCATCCAATCTAGTTCATATTTTTTCCACCATAGTAAATCATTATTGTGGAAGAAACTAAGGTACGAGTTTATTCAGTTTATTTTAATATATATAATCTGAAATTTATTCTCTGTGTGGCTGAAGTTCTGAAATCTATTTATTGTTTTGTTAATTTATTTTTTTTTACAACATTTTTCCGCTATATTTCCGAGACTTTTTGCCTGTTGTTATTGTTATGTATTGTATTGTATTTCACCTTTGCTTTGATGGCGGGCATGTGACGTGATCTTAGTTTATGCCTCACTCCCTCCTTCCTTCCTTCCTTCACTCTCTCTCTCTCTCTCTCTCTCTCTCTCTCTCTATGTCTCTCGCTCCATCACAGTGCATATGTTTCGGCTTCAGTGTGTGTGTGTGTGTGTGTGTGTGTGTGTGTGTGTGTTTGTGTGTGTGTGTGTGTGTGTGTGTTTGTGTTTAGCTCATTCCATTCGTCTGTTTTTATATATATATAACAAATATGTAGAATAAACAGGAATGACGATAACCCCTACGACCTCTTGTCATTGTAAGTTAATCCTTAAGTGAATTGTTACTTAAATTGTGTTTGTTTTTTCTTCTAAGTGTTTTTTCTAAGTAACGTTAAGTATTGTCAGTTTGTAATTTCCCGCATGTATATTTTATTATTCGTTTACTTGTCAAAATAAAAGTGTTTAAGAATTGGTCATTTTTTTATTAAGAGTGACACAGACTTAAGAGTGACATAGACTTGAGAGTGAGATAGACTTAAGAGTGATATAGACTTGAGAGTGACAGACTTAAGAGTGACACAGACTTAGGAGTGACATAGGCTTGAGAGTGACACAGACTTGAGAGTGAGATAGACTTGAGAGTGACAGACTTAAGAGTGACACAGACTTAAGAGTGACATAGACAAGAGAGTGAGATAGACTTAAGAGTGACACAGACTTGAGAGTGAGATAGACTTAAGAGTGACATAGACTTGAGAGTGACAGACTTAAGAGTGACACAGACTTAGGAGTGACATAGGCTTGAGAGTGAGATAGACTTAAGAGTGACATAGAATTAAGAGTGACATTAACTTAAGAGTGACACAGAGTTAAGAGTGACACAGAGTTAAGAGTGACATAGACTTAAGAGTGACATTAATTTAAGAGTGACACGGACTTAAAAGTGACATATTCTTGAGAGTGACATAGACTTAAGAGTGACATTAACTTAAGAGTGACACAGACTTAAGAGTGACATAGAGTTAAGAGTGACATAGACTTAAGAGTGACATTGACTTAAGAGTGATACAAACTTAAGAGTGACATAGACTTAAGCGTGTAATAAACTTAAGAGTGGTACAGACTTAAGAGTGGCACAGACTTAAGAGTGACATAGACTTGAGAGTGACATAGACTTAAGAGTGACATTGACTTAAGAGTGACACAGATTTAAGAGTGACACAGACTTAAGAGTGACATAGACTTAAGATGAACACAGACTTAAGAGTGACATAGACTTGAGAGTGAGATAGACTTGAGAGTGAGATAGACTTGAGAGTGACGTAGACTTAAGAGTGACACACACACAAGAGTGACACAGACTTAAAAGTGACACAGTCTTAAGAGTGACACCGACTTAAGAGTGACACAGATTTACTTAAGAGTGAATCAATCAGGTCAATGTGAGTGAGTCGGAGTAGGAAAACATGGTGTGTGTGTGTGTGTGTGTGTGTGTGTGTGTGTGTGTGTGTGTGTGTGTGGTCATAATCGCTACATCATTCCATTATTCTTATCTTATCTTCCCCCAAAATCATCATTGTGTACTCTGCTCTTCGTATCTTAAATGTTATCTTCCTGGCATTTTAAGTGAATTGTTTGTTAAAGCATTTTTGTTAGATATATAATTAGCATCGGTAAAGGTTTCACATTTCAGCTGAATCAAAGCTTAACATTATTGTTTGTTATTAATTTCCTTAACTTAAAGCATCAGGGTTTAAGAATTTATTATGATTGTTATAATGTGTTGTATGCAATATGTTAACTATTGAATGTTACGATTGAATGTTATATTGCTTAAGTGAATAGACCTCGGAGATTGGCACCGCCCGTTTTAATGTTTGCTGTTGTTATACTTCGTCAGGGTGTTCCTCAGCGGCGCCGGCTCCGACAAGAGCATCGGCGGCGCCTCCAACAACAACAGCAGCAGGACGAGACGCGGGTTCTTAGGACGAGTCAAACGACGACGCACCAGGTCGACCAAGGGAGGTGGAGAGGAGGCGGCCCTCACTCACCCTCATACAAACGCCCACGCCCGCGTCGTCACCACTGCTCTCTACGGGGACTACTCCAACAGTATCGCTAAGGACCATCTCGCTAAGGTAAGGAAGAGATAGAGTTCCTCATCTTATCTCCCCTTCAGGTGTCAAGTTAGGAATCGACTCTGTGTCACCGGGGAAAGTTGGTACTGTTCTGTTTCTGCCTCACCTCCCTAACTATCACTCAATGTGTCTGTCTCAGCTCACCTTTTTAATAGTAATCCCGCTACTGGATGTTAACACCGTGTTAACTGATGCCTCCCAAACCATTTCTGGCTGCCAGGTAAACTAGCTACCTGGCCAATCACTTTGATGTATATATGTATATGTGTGTGTAAAATATTGTTTAAGTAGTAGGTCGTAACTCCCTTGTGTATGGTGTCGCCTCTGGGCTCAATAAGATTTTCTGGTATTAGTTACATATAATATCAAAAGTAGCGTCAACAGTGATCTCAGTTACCCTCCATCACGTTCTACACTCGCTAAGCCAGCCTTAATCCATCCCCTCTATGCCTTACCTACAAATCCCCTTCACTAGTGCGTTTACAGGGGCTCGTCAGATTTTGTGCAGTGTGATACTCCTGTGTTTGTTTACATTCGACATGAAGAAACTCGTAATAGTAAACACAATATGGAATCAAAGTAAAACAATATCAAAACAAATATCTCAATGTAATGTTTATATGATGAGCCCGTGTAAATGCACAAGTGAAGGGGACTGTAAATACTCAGAGGATCCACTCGCCTCCACACCCCTGGCAGGAGGACAGGGCAAGTGGTGAAGGTCGTTCTCGTTATAAACTCTTGTCGTCCCACTAAACCTTTGACCATTTCATTACCTTCAGTTCACTCGTCAACAACATCTCCCTCTTTTATCACTTGTCTGTTGTTCCACACGTTTGTTCAGTTTATATTTTGTTTTCGTGGCTCTCTCTCTCTCTCGCTCTCTCTCTCTCTCTCTTATATCCTAATTTCTGGATCTCTCTATTTCCTTTACTCACTTCTTATATCTCTTCTTTATCGTATTAGTTTATCTTTTTAATTTTATTTTCTAATATTTAGTTACTGTTTTAGTTTATCTTTTCGTCGGGCCATTTAATAGAGGTCAAAGGTCGGAGAATGTTTGACCTCTTTAATTAATTTTACCTGTCTAGGATACCTGAGAATAATTACATCACGAAACAAAAGTATATTCGACTCGAAATTGCCAAGGTGTAGTGAAGCTGTGAAGTCTTATACAATGTTCAGAGTTCTCAAATAGGTTATCCAATCTGCTATTAATTATCATGAAGAACCTTTATTAATTGAAACGCTTCAGAGTCACTTATGTGTTGAGTTCCATTTTGTTTCAGTTTGTATCGTTTTGTTTAGTTTTTTAGTGAATTCTTTATAGGTGATAGACAAAGAAACAGCTTTTAAGGTCGTGATACACCTGAGTGATGCGTTAATCACACCTGAACAGATGATCTTGTATTAACATAGATAACTTCAACTTTCTATTCAGAGGGAAAACTCTAAAGTTAAATTTCATCTTAATTATCTTTCTCAATTTATCTATTCAGTTTATAGACTACCCTGGGTATTCGTTCGTCTACACCTGTGTGATTTGTCTACACCTGTGTGATTTGTCTACACCTGTGTGATTTGTCTGCACCTGTGTGACTTGTCTACACCTGTGACTCGTCTACACCTGTGTGATTTGTCTACACCTGTGTGATTTGTCTACACCTGTGTGATTCGTCTACACCTGTGTGACTCGTCTACACCTGTGTGACTTGTCTACACCTGTGTGATTCGTCTACACCTGTGTGATTTGTCTACACCTGTGTGACTCGTCTACACCTGTGTGATTTGTCTACACCTGGCTCATTTCATACCTGTACTTGAATGTTCTTGTTATATTATTTCTGTATATAAAACCATATCTAATTGCTTACCTTGTGTTTTTTTTCCTCACCGTGTGGTCTTGCCTCCGTGGGACACCTGTCTACTCACCTCAGAACGACACGATTCGGCTGACAGTGGACGGAGTCGGGGAGGAGATAAAGGAGGCTGGGCCAGGGGACTTCTCTAGCGCCGAGGATCTCCACAACCTGAACATTGGCTGGCGAGACTTTAACAACGACAACAACACCTACAGGAGGAACACTAATGCTAATACTAACAGGTAAGTGGTGGTGGTGGTGGTGGTGTAATATGGTGGTGAAAGTGGTGTTATTAGTGGTGGAAGGTGGTGGTGGTGGAAGTTGGTGATGGTGGTAGATGATGGTAATAGTGGTGGTGGTGAAAGTGGTGTTATTAGTGGTGGAAAGTGGTGGTGGTGGAAGGTGGTGAAAGTGGTAGTGTTAATGGTGTTGGTGAAAGTGGTGGATGGTTGTGAAATTGGTAGCGTTAGTGTTGGAGGTGGTGATTGTGGTTTGGAGTGGCCTACATTAATTTTATAGTTACCTGTGTTGAAATCTGGTTGAGTTTGTAGTGTAAGTGTGTGTGTGTGTGTGTGTGTGTGTGTGTGTGTGTGTGTTCTCTTTCAAAATTATGTGCCTCCAGCCAGTGTCAGCTACGAGGTGACACTTTTCCAGAATGTTATACATTACACTACACCTGCCAACAATTAGCAACACCTCCTCTGTGTCACCCAAGGCCCTTAAGTTGAGTGTATGTATTTGTATGTGATAATGTAAAGGATTCTGTTCGTTGTTAAAACTGATGACAATGTTTCTTCTACCTCGTCAGCGCCTACAGCCCCAACCTCGCGGGCGTGGGTACAAACAGAGCTCAGGAGGAGATCATCAGAGCCCTGAAGATCCTGCTCAGCCGCCAGGAGCGTGAAGACGCCGAGAAGAAGCGCCTCAATGAATGGCGAGTCATTGCCATCGCCGTCGACCGCATCCTGTTCTGGATCTTCTTCATCGTCACCACCGTCAGCTCGGTGGTGTTCCTCGTCATCCTGCCGCTAGTGAAGCGGTCAGAATATGTCCGTAACACCTGAGGTCCCCCACACGCGACCCGCGGTGCACCTTTGTAGTGTTGCTGTGCCATCACCCTACTCCCAACCGCGGTTGTAGCAGACCGCGAGTTACTACCTTCCCTCCAGGTGGACCCTGAGCTGTCTTTGTCTTGGTCTGGGCCGCGCCCCGCCACGCTCGTCCTATTCAACACTGGTAGAATGTTCACACTCTTCACCTTAGACTTAGTTTCTAGTGAATCCTCTTGCCGTCAGGTACGAGACCTCTTCCATCTGACTCTTTCTTAGACGTTAACATGGAGAGCGGACGGAACAACAAGAGGAAACACGAAGGTCCCATTGAAGAGTTTGATGGTGCAAGTTGAGTAGATAAGAGTTTAACCGTTCTACCATGCATGAAAGCACATTTTTGGTCGGGGGCGGCATTGCAGGCCGTGGTTGTTGGTGTGTCCACTCTGTGATAATGGCTTCCAAGTCCCCCACGACTGTCGTCATGTTGCGGTAACAGGTAGAACAAGATCGGTGCTTTCTTTGCCTTTCCACGGGCCATACCTAGCGTAGTATTGTGGGCACTCGACATGAGAACTCTCCCGTTTACGTATCTAAGTCTCATTTGTTGTTGAATGCCGAGAAAAACTATTTAATTGTATAAAGAGATGAACCTTATTATAAGTTACTATTATTGTTGTTTGACATCTCCAGTGATGATCTTGAGAAGCAGAAAGGACTGCTGGGATTTGTCCAGGACGTCCAAGGACGGACAGGCTCGATAATTCGTGGATCAGAGGCCACCTTGGCCCAGGACATGACGTCAGCTAAGCCTTACACTTTGATATGTACGTCGAGGAAGTCTCAAGTCTCTTGTCCCCACTGTTGATCAAGGGCCGTGGGTGGTCCGTTTACATGTTTATAAGCCTTAAAATATGTTGTATATGGAATTATCTATTATAGTTTAGATAGATCTCAAAACATATATATAAAATATATAAATATATATATATATATATACATATATATATTACCCTCCCTTAGAACCTTCAACTGGATTAGTAGGAAAAAACATTGTTGTCATTTGCACAAATTTCCTGGAGCCGTTAGGTTAGGAGTCGTCCAAACTATAGTTAAGTGAAGCTTCATCCGGCTTGTTTGATCGTCTCTCTCTCTTTCTCTCTCTCTCTCAAAACACGAGTAAGTCCATTATATAATTGGTATCCTCTCTATCAATATGTTGACTACGTAAAAACTAATGATATATATGTATATATTCCAGAAACTTCTGGAACAGACATTCGAGTCTTTAATTAACACACTGAATCAATTTACTGAACCCTCATTCCCCACCCCCTCCTCTTCACGTCTCCATCCCTCCTCTTTACGTCCCCATCCCTCCTCTTCACGTCCCCATCCCTCCTCTTCACGTCCCCATCCCTCCTCTTCACGTCCCCACCCCTTCTCTTCACGTCTCCATCCCTCCTCTTTACGTCCCCATCCTCCTCTTCACGTCCCCATCCCTCCTCTTCACGTCCCCACCCCTTCTCTTCCGTCCTATCCCTCCTCTCACGTCCCCATCCCTCCTCTTCACGTCCCCACCCTTCTCTTCACGTCCCTACCCCTTCTCTTCACGTCCCTATCCCTCCTCTTCACGTCCCCACCCCTCCTCTTCACGTCCTCACCCCTCCTCTTCACGTCCTCCCCATCCCTCCTCTTCACGTCCCCATCCATCCTCTTCACGTCCCCATCCCTCCTCTTCACGTCCCCATCCCTCCCCACCACTTCTATCAGAGGATTAGTCCCTCCAACCTCCTCCTCCAAGTTCCTTGAGGCAATAATAATCTGAAGCGACTAGCAGAACCACTGGTGTACAGAGGGAGGAGTCCTTCCATTACCACTAATGTTAATCCCAAGCCCATTAGGCCTCCGGTCCCCTCCTACCCTCTCGCGGCCCAGGTCCTCGTAGTCGCTTCAGTCTCAACATATTGACAATAATTTCGTTCTTGCTGTTGAATACGACCCCGTACTGACGGTACCCAGGGAAGTAAGTGAGATCTTGAGCATTGTGGAGAAATGTCTGTTGTTGTTGTTTTTTTTTATTGATGAGAAGAGGATTATGTTCCCTGAAGTGTTTTCGTCATAACAACATCAAGTCGGTGATGTGTTCTCTCTTTGGTAAACCGTAAATACAGAACGGCTTTGAGAAGAATTTTTTGACTATAAAGAAATAAATCTTTTAGAGAGTTCACTGTGCTGCCTCATGGCTTTTTAAAGTGTGTGCCCTCACGCCGCCCTTCACAGGTACTTTGTGAAACGTTGAAGTACCAAAAGGACCTTCATATAAATAAAGTGAACTGACAGTGGACAGAGGAAGGTAAAGAAACACTCACACTGAACTAAACTGCCGAGCTATCAAGTGCAACAATGGCCGGTAGATGTCGTCGCCATTCGCCTCGTCAGTACCTCAGCAGCGCGAGAACCAATCACTGCAGCTCGTGGTAACTTGACTAATCTTCTCGTGACTTCATGCAAGCGAAGCTACTTTTTGAAGTTGAATTTTAATGAGACCGTAGTGGCTGAGGAAGTCCATGACGTGAACTTCTGACGACCTGTACTGTCACGGATGGTTCCCCGGGAGCTCAGAGACATACAGAGGGGACAGTGCTACGGTTGCCTGAGGATAAAGCTCTTACACGTACAACAGAAGAGACTGGATGTATCATGCAGCGCCCGGAGTTTGTTGTTGAGGCGCCACGACATATAAACAAGTCGTGACGTAAATTACAGAAGTTGATCAGCAGATGGAGTCAGACCTCAGGTGCGTTAAGTCTTCAGTGGTCGAGCCTGGCTAGTAGTGGGGGGCTTCACCAACGGTTGGGTCTCACCTGAGGTTGGGTCTCATTAGAGGTTGGGTCTCACTAGAGGTTGGGTCTCACTAGAGGTTGGGTCTCACCACCTGCCAGGCTTAGGGAGTGAAATCATCTCCTCACTGTTGCTGGAGATGGACTCTCAGCTCTGGTCTTACTGACTGTTAGCTTCACCACTTGTCAAGGTCTACTTGTCATCACTGGTTGTGCTTCACCAGTAATGACAGCTGAACATCTCAAGTGGTTGAGTTCCAGCAGTAAACAGATAAGGTCTATAACACGGCTGGACAGGAAATTATCTTGTACAGTCAGTTGTCAGTTTGGCCTCAGCAGTGATCAGTGGTCGACGTTTATCAGTGGTGTTGAGGTTCCTGTCAGTTGTCACGGTCAATAAGTAAGGACAATAGTCAGACCTCAGCAGGGTCGAGTGACAGTCAGGCTTTGATGGTCAGACCATCCTTGGTGATCATCATCATCATCATCATTATCATCATTATCATCATCCTGATTCTTGAGGAATCAGCCGTGAGATTTTCTAATTCTACTACTATCTGAGTAGCTTTTCAAAACTTGTACTTTTGCATCAACAACTCGTGATGCGGTTTTCGAATAGCCGGTGAGAGAACCACGTTGACGAGGCTTTCCTTCAATGGCTAATGAGTTGGAAATCCAGTCCAGAAATATCGGTTCTTTTGTTGTGTAACTTCCAGCTGGTATGGAATTAACTAAAGTTTTTAATACATTGTAAATAAAGCTATTGTACCTCTCGCATGCACTTTTTTGAAACGTGTGTAAATTAATGACAATATTTGCATAATCTATTACATCCCATTGGCAATAATAGCCTAATCAGTGTTAGTCAGGTAACGTGGTCACAAGATCAACATACTGTACACTTACTCTAAATACCCTTTGCTAAACAGACTTGTTCTGCCTTGAAACTCTCTTTGTGAGTTGTCTTCTCTGTATGGCAGGAAATTTTAAATTGAAATATATTTTGTAGAGCACAGGAAGAGCAAGTGATGCGTACTCACTGTACAGCTCGTGGCTGTTGAGAAAGGTGCCTTTGAACCTGCTGTTGATGCAGCATCAAAACATTGTTGGTTCACTCTTACGGAGAACCTGTCAAGAGTCAATTTTTATACAAGTACTCGGCATCAGAACGCTGTGGACTGTGCTGACGGGTTCAGTTTATTGTGTCATACCACATACTGGAGCCGAGAACTTTGGGGCTCCGTTTGTCTTGTGGAACAACTGTACTTAATGCTCACAAGGATCAAGTCTGGTTAGTACATGACGTATGTAGAGTTAGTGTATCACATGCATAATTACGTGCATTGTTTTATGAGATTAACAGTCGCATAACTTAGTGGTTTAAACTGCATTCAGAGAGTGAGAGCTTTAACTGAAGAATGGAGACTAGTGAAAGTTCAAGGCAGGTTTGTTTACATATTTATTTTTGCTACTGACAGCACATCATACATGATCAATCCTGTTGTGTACTTGTCATAAGGAAAGCCTTTGGGACCGAGAACATACAGAAGACGATACATTCGCAATATACACCTGTATCACACTGGGTTTCAGGTATTAAGAAACAGGTGCTTTGAGGAGTCATATTTTGTATCACTCGTTTCGTAACTTGGAATGGGTATATGACACGCGGACACTCTACCAAGATCACTTTGTAGACTGGAGGAAAACGCCAGCATCATGGACGCTGTCAGGACAACGGTGATGAACTGTAGATATTAGTCTAACCTCACACAACCCATGTCGCTTGTTGACCACAGTTTACGGGTGATGGCAGCAGTGTAAGTCTCGGAATATTATACAATTTGCTGAAGAAATTTATTTGTTTCCAGTTCATCTCATTTCAATATTCAAGGAAGAATTTCATCTTTTATTCCATCATTGTTATTTTATTCTTTATAAATCACTGGTGATATGGTGTTGGATATTCTTAGAGTTACAAGTCCTCATCATCTAAGATATTTGATATGTATTACCCCCTTTTCCCTCTACATGTGGTTTCTGTAGAATAAAAGGGAAATTATTTAGAGAATGAGGCACAAACATTCATAAATGCCATTTGTTTCTGTCAAGTGTTGAAACAGCACAGCCGTAGTGAATCACCTTTTACACAAAGGACATTATTTATCTTTAATATCACCAAGACGATATTTTCTTTTAACGGAAAAAATCCTCAGTGACACTCTGTTACCAGGTTTGTTTTTAGTGAGCGAAAAATAACAATAAATTCACTCCTTCACAGCTTCAGCTATCAATCTGTACATAACCCGCATCACGCCCTAGCTGACTGCCCCTGGAGCCACACATCGTTCACTACCAGTCAGTCAGATAATGTTTCCTACTAACAGCTTCAGCACATACACGTCTGCTCAACATTTAGTGTAGGAAGCACGACTATACATTACCACACTCACGTCAAATTTAACCCACTCTCCCGTTTTCTATAAAGCTAGCGACAGTATGTAATTTCTCTCTCATGTTTCCTATAATAATGGCCACAGGAGATTGTTTCCTCTCCTGTACTGTATATGATTGATTTTGTACATTAAGTTCCACTTTTGTCATTTCCAGTACCTTGGTGTGCGGTAAATTAGCACATCCCATTTTATGTCCGTCTAGTTAATAATAACTTCCTTCAGTACAAGTTTATCCTAGAAATATCCCAGCCACTCCTCTTTACACCCTTATCTCTCTCAGTTAATTCCATATCTCAGGTTATCATATTTTTGCCCTCTTCTTTCTTCTCATTTATCAACCTTCTCTATCTTAATGGATATAGCTCCTTATCTCTTATCATTCCATTAGTAACGTCATTTACAACTGTAGAAATATACCATTGTTTACATAGCCCCCTTACCTGCCTGTACCTCACCTCTACACCACAATATATATTCAAACTCTTTAATTTCTGTAACATATATGACTCTAATTGTTCTTTATAGCTCTATTAAGTATAGCTGACTGAGTTTATATAGCTCCGATAGTGATATGTATTTCCAGTATATAAAAAGTACTTTTTACTTTCCTATTCAATTAGTTATGTTTGAAATTCATATATAATCTAGTATATACTGTATGTCTTAATATGTACACTATATCTGTTTATGTGTGGTATTGTTGTAGTTCTGATTTGTATTATGTTACTAATTATATAATATAGTGTATTATAATTACTACTATGAGTCAGGGACGAATAAAGACAGCCATTTAGTATCATAATTACCTCCATTAGTCATAAAACTCCACCTATCATCAGGTACAGTACAACAATAGGTTAATTAAAACACACACACACACGTTATCATCCTGTTCTCTTCCTTGTATGTAATTATCATGCTTACAATAAACGCAATCATTAGAATAAACTCCGAGAGCTTGAGTACAACGAAAAGTTATACTACAGTATTATGAGTAAATTAACGTAATGCAGAAACAGAAAACTATGGTGACGATGTATATTTAGTCTTATAAGTTATGGTAATAATACTCACGAGGTACAAGGACTTATAATAAAGTCCTGGATCTGAGAAAAGGGTGAAGTTGTATAATGTAATTCATATAATAATAATGTACCAAGGGGAAGCAGAAAACTTTAAAAATCTTGTATTTTTTCATTAATAAAAAAAAACGAAATGAAGTGAAATTGTTTAAAATGTTTGAAAAATTAGTGGTAAAGAAAATTCCTAACATGTAAAAATATATACTGTAAAGGCGATTATAATACTGTATATAAAAATCCCGAAATTAATCTATTATTTAGTTTAAATAGGCATACAAAATCAGAACAATTAAATTATTGTTAAAAAATTAATAAGTAACAGCATGTGACACGACCAAAGGGTAGTTGCAGCAAGTAAACAATAATTTTACCGAGTGTTGTGTTGTCATTCTTCACCAAAACATTACGAAGTGTGATCGGTAAGGCGAGAGATCCAGTGCCTCAGTATTCTTATAAGTGAACGGACGCGCTTGTCTGAGAGACTGCCCCACTCTCCCACCCCCACCCGGCCAGCGTCTGAGTACGTGAGGGTCAGGATTGAGTCCACGTAAAACAGATAAATTATTAACTACAACGGATCTCAGTTAAAAAAGGTAAGACTACAGTGCGTTATAGAAAATAATTAACAGTGAATATGCCTCTGTTTATCTGGATTTCATTCGTAAGAGGAGACTGAGTTTTTCTTTGGCGTTTGTAAATGGTTTCCAACGGTGAAAATCCGACTAAGGTGAATTAAACGTGTTGTTTTATCGGTGCAAGCCAAGAATGCTCACAGCTTTCATTATTTATTTACAATATTTACCGTTTGGAGAATTTCCTCGCATCATAAAAAAATCGTAACTTGTCCAACGTATATTATATAAGGTACTTAAGTAAATATTGTATAGTACACACCTCTCTGCATTCCGTCTTCAAGTGCCGGGGATATTAGGTTCGAATGCCAGGTCCTCAGCAGTCGCCCGTTTGTATTCACCTTTCTCGTTTGTTTTTCGTTTGTCAGTTTGTCAGGGCAATATTTCCGGCCAAGTGCTGAAGTAAACAGATGAATTTTGTATTTTTATTTTTAATTTTTTTAGTTAATGACTCAACTGTGTCATGATGGGGTGAGAAGGGCCGTTGTACAGTAGAGTTACCGCTGCGTGTTTTATGTCGAAATCAAAAGAGCATCAATTATATTCTAGTCTTAAATTATATCATAAGTTTATCAGGATAGTCCTAGGTGAAATTTCACATCGATTACCTTAAAATATGTTTGGTATAATCTGATGTTAATGAAGTGATTTAGATTTTGTCAAATTCATAATGTGTGTTGCCTATGCTATATTGGATTAATGAAAATTTTTAAGTTGGAGATAATGAAGTTACACATTTAACAATATAAATCTATGGGTTCTCAGTGTGGGATAGCATTGTTTTGACTCGGTACAGTACTCAGTGTGTAAGTGTGAGCATGATAAACGACATTACCATTACAGTCAATTAAACGTGAATCTGTTTGTTGCTGTATAATTGTTTGACACCAAATGGTTTATGTTTGATAAGATTAAAACAACACAAAATATAAACATCATTAAAACAGCGCCCAAAGATTAATATAATTTACCTTTATAGCAGGAGCTTCCGGGGCTTATATATTAGTTTACCATAAATACAAAGTTACTACATTCATACACTGTTCCATTATTTCTGGTGTATGATAAAAGAGGTATATTTATACAATGGTTCTAACTGTATGTTACACTTTACCATACATCACTGTCCTTGTTATTACATACCGAATAATACACTGTTATTAAATTCGACGCCAAAAATGTATTTCTTTCTATGTAAACTGACGAGGTAATATCACACTCATAATTCCACTGTTGTTGATATTCTTGTTGTAATTCCTTGTTATAATTGACTATATTGTGTTTGTACTTAAGAGGAGTGGCTATATCTTTTCAATAACAGTACTATATTAGTTAGTTTCTTATAGGAGTAAATATAGATCCTGTTACTTAGTCAAGAAGTAATGTTTAAAGAATTATGTAATACGTAGCTTCCCTCCCTCTATCCCTCCCTCTATCCCTCCGCTTGTCAGCTAATTTTGTTATCATATATTTATGTACACCTAAAAGTAACTTACTGAATATTGTTTTTCTTTCTTATAAAAAACCTTGTATAGTTGGCACTGTATAACTTGTATTTTGTACATAAAAGTTGGTATGTTATTCTATTTCATGAGTTCGTCTGTACGAGAGGCGCTCATTTGTTGGGATATGATGGCATAGGTAGCCAATCAGCACCCCAGAAATGAGTGTCACAAGGGGGAAAACTGTAGGGCAAGATGGACCAATGAGACACCTAATGATGCCGATTGGTTAACAATTTTATAGTCTAGTTGCCCAATAAGCATTCAAGAAATCAAATATAACAGAAAATGGGAACAACAGAGCTAATCACAGTCACAGAAAACGGTGCTACTGATTGAAGGGAAAACTATAGCATCATAATTCACACGCCACAACCTCTACACTTTTTCCCCTCCATGTTATATAGAAGTTACGGGACTGCGGACTAGTTAACCCAAGACGAAATATAGTTGATATACAAATTAGAGTGTAAGAGAAATGCTGCAGGGATACTATTATAATTTACGTGCTTCATTATTATTAAAAAAAAAAAGAGGTGAATTGTTGTTGGCGACACTAAAAAACATTGCTCTATGTCTCACGTTGTATTTAGATCAGGAGGTGAGTCACAAGTGGTTGGTGAGTGAGTCAGGATAGTCAGTGGCAGATTTTGGTCAAGATCGCCATGATTAGACTGGGTCACCGTTGGTCAGAGGCAGAGTGGGCCATAGTGGTCAAGAGGTTTGGGCCACGTTGGTCAGAGGCAGAGTGGGCCATAGTGGTCAGAGGCAGAGTGATAGAATTGGGCCACATTAATCAAGTGGTAGAGTGGGCCAGGATGGTTAATGCCAGAGTGGACCACAGTGAGCCACAGTGATGTGTGTCACAGTGGCTGGCGAGGGTCACCACTAGCAGAGTGAGGCCACAATGGTAGCCTACTATGGCTCCACCACTGGGCAGAGACTATGAGACTGACCAGAGCCACGATGAGCCACTAGACCGGCATGTGTCATAGTGCGCCATCATCGGGCCAGTGCTATTACTGGCTAGTTGTGTAGTATTTGTAACTGAAACTAATAGATATGAATAATAATTTTTGTAACTTAAAGAAATTACTTTTCATTATCCTAAAAAAAAATAATACTTTATTCACCTTTGCCTCTTGGACATACACATCACCTGTATGTCACCTGGTGTATGAACATGGTCATAGGTGTTGGTTACTAATTACCTCCCAGACTAAACCAAATACCTTGATTCTAAATATATTTCATAGACGGGGTTAAATATGAGTCTTTTTCCGCTTTGTTTATTAAATGTACATCTGCCAGCCTTCATTCACGTCCTAACTAAGAATCAAAATTAGTGACCAATTTCTTGCGTCACGCCATTAAGAATCAACATAAGTGACCAATTTCTTACATCACACCATAAATAATCAACTTAAGTAACCTATTTCTTGCGTCACACCATAAATAATCAACGTAAATGACCTATTTCTTGTGTCACTATCGATTTGTTTTGTTTGTTCACATTAAGATAATCGTCTATACTCTTCCACCAAACATTTACAAAGATCACCTACAATACTAAGATCAAACATGGACTTCAACAGTTGTAAATCATTATGTTAAGGAGAACAACTACAGGTGAATGTTGATGTTATATCACTACGTAACAACATCAAATAACATCAGAGATTATACTAAACATTATGCAAAACATCAACCGTTACATTTAAGAGAGACAGACATATGTTTACAGGTGGAGAAAAAAATTATAATGGACACTTACCTGGGCATAAACATTATTCAGGATAAAGGGGACATTATATACCACACCCTCTTATATAATGGTATACGGTATTTACCAGCCATCAAACAGTGAATGTAGGTAAGAGGTGGTCAAGTGATATCGAATAGTTAACCCACGTGTTCAGTGAGGGTAAGCTACGGTCTTGATGTTCCAAGGAGATACTGAACACCAGAGAGAAGTACAGTACAGTAGGTTTTTAGGTTAAGAGGAATGATTACTGTGGACTGATCTTATAAATGTGATTAAAACCCTTAGTTGTTAAAGTTCAGGAAAAGAGTGTAACATCAACAATATAATTATAGCAAAGTGGCAAAGTGGACAATAATCAGGGCAAGTGGCCTTAAGATACAGCACTTACAGGTGGCCAGATGACGCCTGTAAAAATTTTAACCGAATTTTTGGCCAAATATGAAGACATCTGTGCGTGAGGAGAAGACAATAGGGAGAGCAGCGTGACCCCTTATGAAAACTGTCTTTTAGGGATAATTTATAATACTTTCGTTGTTTACTGTAAAAGCATTATTAACTTTCCAAACAACTTTTATGAATTTTCTTAAAGAGTATAGTTTGTCTTATCTGATGCCTGTGTATAATACGGGAAGTTATTATATGTAAAGGAATTAAGCAGAAAGTTTTTTTCTTCTTAGTTTGCTCTTAAATGACGTCTCGGCTGCTCATTGGCTGGGTCCATACACAAGGGGGAAGGGGGGAGCTTAATTCTGATGGACTGTGTGTTGTTGGTGTGAAAGATTACAAACGTGGCGTCCTTGTCAATCAAAATAAAAAAAAAAACTTGTACAGCAATTCCTCCAGTTATTGTTTTTCTTTATAAAATTGATAAATCATTCTTATAAAACTTGTTCGTCTCTGTAATATTCATAGAAAGAACAAGCTATGAGATTTAATGTCACTCGTGTTGATGTTATAGCGTAGTACAAATCATCAATAACTTGGGTCATCAAACACGTAATCAAGATGATGCCAATTTAACCTAACGTCTCCTAAAGTGATTGACAGACTCACGCCCGTATTATAAAACAACATCTTAAGTACAGTACTGCGGTGTCTCTCGGGACTCATTTAGTTTAAAACTCGGGTTGAAACACGACGACCCTCTTTAAGGGAAGATGTTGTTTAATAATACGGGCGTCAGGGCGCAGAGATGTGATCGATGCGTTGTGTTGTCGTTTGGTCGGGAAGGCCGCCGTGTGCATTATCTGGTCTAACTTTCATTTTCATCGATTTCACGCGGGTTTGCGGGACCATTCACCATTGTGTCTACTGACTTAGGAGAGTAGTGCTGCTCTTGGTACAGGTACTTCCCTCCCAAGCTCTCACTTACAGTAGAGTTAGAGTGTATGGGACAATGGTTTTAACTCGTCGTGTCAGGTCCACAATACACATTTTTATTTGTTTTATAATATGAAGACTCTTGAAAAAGTTGCTACACGTATTATGACGCAGCAGCCATCACAACTGAAAGTGGCACAGCAGTTGTTGACAAGCTCATTATCTCATTAATATTTGGCTTCACACCAGTTATTAATAGTAGTTTGTTCTCAGGTGTCACGGAATAAAGACTGACAAACGCACACACAGATAATTTTATAGATTATGTCAGCCAGTGTGGTAGGTGGGTGGACTCATAAACGTTTGTATAAATAACCAAACCTTACCTGACTTGATACTTTATGACAACATGAAAAACCTAAAGCTGATGGGATCTGATCCGCTTAAGACGAGGTACAAGGACTTAACTTGATGGGTTTTTGTTCGTTTTATAATTCATTGTGAAATTGTTTGGTAGGATTATCTTCATGGGGTTGATTCGTCAGCACCCACACACACACACACGCACACGCACACACACACACACACACACGCACGCACACACACACACACGCACACACACACACACACACACACACACACATCGACCTTTCATCCCCCAGCCCTCAACACCTGAGAAGCGGTTCACCTCACAATATGTGTTGCTGTTTAACGTGTGCAGTAAATACCACCACCTGGCAGTCAGCGTCCAGGTGTGAGCGAGAGGTGGTGGTGCATGCATGACTCACACATTCACTCGATATGTGTTGTCGTTTACGCCTCTCCACGGCTAAGAAATGAACATACTAATCGGCGAATCGCTCTTGTTAGTTTGTTTCATTGTTTATATGACCGTGTACGTTCGTCCATTCACACTACTGTAAATATGTATACGATCTTATATTTCTTCAACAAATGTTATTGTTCACACTAGGAGAATGACAGAAAGAGAAGAGGGAGATAATGAAAGCCTGGAAGGAGAGAGACAGAGAGAGAAACAAAATTGGGGAGAAGGATAAGAGAGAAAGGAAAAAAAACGAGAAAACGACAGAGAAAGATTAAGATAAATGATATAGATAAAGAAAGACATGGGGGAGGGGCAGCCATTTCTCATGTATATTATATATATTTTAACCTTGAATCTAACTGGGAAGAGAAAGAAGGTATCCCAATCATGGACTGAATTTAAAGAGTTTCCGACTGTCATTTTTTTTTTTTTTTTTCCCCAGCAATGCGACGACCATCTTGAGGACAGTATGAGTGGTGGTGCCTTCAAGAGACTAAATAATTATACTGTATACAAAGGTGAAGAAGCAAAGGCGTGAAAGATTTATGCAAAGGTTACGAAGCAAGATCCAAGGGTGTGGTGGAGGTGTAGTGTGGTGGTGGAGGTGAAGATGTAGGTGTAGGTGGAAGAACTATATTAGGAATGTCACGAACCACAATTCAGTTTCTGTCGTCTTCAGAGGTCAAGTTATTAAGGTCAACTAAAGCCTCTAGACGTTCTATTGATGTGTAAGGTTGAATAAGGTCAAACTCAGAGGCTGTAAGGTCAAGATTAGTGGCATTATTGGCTGCTTAAGTTACTGTACTACCAGGAATTAGAATATATAAAGAGTTATTTGTTTACCAATACGAAATATTTATATAGTTTCCTTATATCAATGAAGACAACTTGGTTTTGTAAATAGCTTAAAATCACAACACAAACCTTACTTTAGGATTGATAATAATACATGTGTAAGTATTGTAGGTATTGTAGGTATTGTAGGTATTGTAGGTACTGTAGGTATTGTAAGTACTGTAGGTATTGTAAGTACTGTAGGTAGTGTAGGTATTGTTAGTATTGTAGGTATTGTAAGTACTGTAGGTAT